GCAGCTGTTAGAAGAGGGAGGCGGGAGAGAAAGCCTTGTGTGGCCCCATGCTTAGGGCGGATGGGCTCTTTTATAATTGTTGCTTCCATCAGTCTCCAGGGAAGAGCCATCGCCAATAAATGGCTGGCCGGCAGTCAAAAGGAAACGATTTGGCCCACTCGGAGGACGTATTTACATCTCTGAGTGCCGGCTGGACGGCAGCAGGCTGGCCGACTCAAAACAGACGTCCAGGCAATTCTTTTTTGGATCCCACCCTGGAATGAATCATTACTATTCTTGGACAAGAATGCAGCTTACCTCTGTATCTCCTCCCTCTGTATTAGCGATGCAGGGAAGTTTGGGGTGCTGTGGACCCCATGAAGGGCAGTGTAGGACCCAGCACACTGGTAGCTGGTCCCCAGGGTAGCATCAGAAAAAGAACCGGACCTAGGGTTGATTTTTATCTGGGTAATTTCAGGTGAATTCCTGGACCTCTCTGAGCCTCTGTTTCCACATCAACCAAATGGGTCTAATTAATTTACTCAACTAATGTCTACTGAGCACCTACTGTGTGCCAGGCACTGTTCTGGATCCAGCTGTGATCAAGACAGACACAGGCCCTGCCTCCATGGAGATGTCGTTTTAGTAGGACAGACAGACATTAAACAGATACCACAGATGACATAGAAAAGTGACAAGTGGTGTAAGAGAAGGCCAGGGCGGGGACAGGAGAGTGACCAGGGATGCTTCCTACATAGAGTGGCCAGGTGAAGTGGCATTTGAACAGAGACCTGAAGCAGGTGGGGGGTGCGTGTCATGTCACAAGTGGTCTAGGGAACAGCCAGTTCAGAGATCCAGAGGCAAGAGCATGCTCCATGTTTTCTGGGAACATTCCAGAAGCCAGTGGATAAAAGAGGAAGTGAAGGGGCCATACGGGATGAGGTTCGAGATGGGACCACCTACTGTACATGCAGTTTGACCTGGACTTGTCCCGTTTACACCTGTGGTCCCGGTATTAATAGCACCACCCTCCTTTGAGGTGTCTGGGTCTAAATGATAGAGTGTTTGGTCACATTCAGGGAGGCAAGAAAGAATAGGGCAAGTTGGGAGGACCTCATTGGCCAGGTAGGTGGGAGCCATGGGAGGATGTAGAGCAGAGGAGAGGGTGACCTGACTTGAGTATTGACAGATTGATGAGAACAAACTGGGGATTGAGAATGGAGGCAGGAAGACTGCCTGGAAAGCAGTGGGGTGGTGGCGGTGGAGTTGGGGAGAGGTGGCCAGATTTGAGGTCACCTGTACAGTCTCCTGGCGTGGTGAGGAGGCACCTGTGAGGGGCAGTGCATCATGGCAGTCCCTCTGGGGCACGGCGCTAGTTTACTGAGCACTCCCACGCGGCACGGGGGAAGGCCCAACAGATCCCGGTCTGCTGTGTGCCTGAGGCCATGGGGTCTGGCAGGGAAGGGGCTTGTGGAGGGTCCTTTGAATGGGGTCCCCTCAAAAAGGGATTCAGATAGACCACACACTTTCTGGCCTCCATGGCTACTCTTGAGACACCCTTGGAAAGGATGTCAGTCCTTTTGGCCCCGAGCCCATGTCAGGCTCTGTTATGACAACCTGTGATTGATGAGACATTTATTTCATTCCTAGGATGTCTGCATGGCCCATGACAAACATTTTCTAGAATTTAAAATAACTTGTATAAAGGTGATGTGTGCACAGTAAAAACATTCAAACAATGAACAAATATATGGAATGCCAAGTGAGTCCCCTTCCCCCGCATCCCCCCGCGGCCCCCCCACCCCCGGCAGTGACACAACCGGAGTCTGTGCCCTGCGAGAGGGGCCTGTGAGTTCCAGCACAAAGTGCATTCATCCCTTTGTACACAACGGGGAGCGAGCCCTGCGCCTTCCTCACCTTGCTTTGTTCCCTTATCTCAGGAGGGAGTTCCTTATCAGTCCCAGGGAGCTTTCCCGCCGTCCCCTGGGCTGGGCTGCCGCGTTCCTCTGTGTGTCTTTGTGTCGGCTCTGACCCTACTGTTGGCCATTTGGGTGGTTTCCAATTTTTCACTCTTGCAGACAGCGCTGCAGGGTGGACCTGCCTTCGGCCACATGTGCAAGTGTAACTGGAGGGGGAGAGCCTTGGGAATGGAATTGCTGGATCCAAGAAAACGTGCCCCACGTTGACACCGGAGGCAGTGAGATCCTACAAGGAGATAGCCACCAGTTAGGGGAAGAGCGAGTTCCCACGCAGTTTCCTGGCGGTGGCCCGCCTAGCTGGTCAGTTGTCCGGAGCGAGCCTTGCACTCGACGTGGGCGCCGCCGGTTTTCCCAGAACGATGGTGGTGGAAGGCGGGGAGGTACCAGTGGACTGTGGGCTTGTCACATGCTGGCTCCGGGGTTTCCAGCTTCTTGGCCAAGTTGCCCTTAAGGCGAAAAGAAAAGGCCGTCTTATGACTGAGCACCTACTGTGTGACTGTCCGTGAGGTTCTTGTCCTTGGGATGTCTTGAGTCTGGTAGTCAAGCCAGACTTGTCACCCCAGGATGACATCCAGGGCCTCTGGTCAGTCACCTGTGGAGCAAAGGGAAGGCTCTCTGGAAGCACGAGGACTGTGTGCTTGGCATTGTGGAGTGGGACGCGCTCTCCCTATGCTGCCCATTCACAAGGAAGCCTTGGGCCACTGCCCAGCATGCCCTGGGCCTCCATTGAAGGCAATGAGCTCTGGAGGCTGCCCGGGGAAGGGCTTTTTGTTCTAAAGCTGCTGCAGCCGCCAGATCCACGTGCTTGGCCGGGCCCCAGCTGGGATGCAGTTGGCTGCCAGCCCTGCCTTATGGGGATGTTCATGTTCCCCTGCCCCGAGGTTCCAGGTGACCCCGGCCTGCAGCAGGGACTGGAGAGATTCTTTTCAAAGTTTAGGCTCTGTTTTCTCTGTGAATCCGGGACAGGTGGAGTCCAGGGGGTGCTGGCTTTTGGAGTCAAATGGGCCTGGGTGTAGGTGGCAGCTCTGCCCCCTGCTGTCTGTGTTGGTGGGCAGTTGGATCCTCCAAACCTTGTTTTTCCTGTCTGTAAAAAGGGGCAAATGAGCCCTGGCCGGTTTGGCTCAGCAGTTAGAGCATCAGCCCGCGGACCAGAGAGTCCTGGGTTTGGTTCCCACTAAGGGCACATACCTCGGTTGCAGTTTGTCCCTGGCCCCAGTTGGGGTCGTGTGGGTGGCAACCAGCCGATGTGTCTCTCTCACATCGATGTTTCTCTCTCTCTTTCTCTCTCTCTCTCTCTCTCTCTCTCTCTCTCTCTCTCTCTCTCTCCCTCCCTCTTCTTTCTTCCTCTCTCTCTCAATAAAAAGGGGCAAATGACCTCTGGGCCCTGGATCCCATGAGATAACCGGAAAAGGCCTTGGTGTTTCCATGAGCACATACTGTCCTAGGAGCCAGTGGGAAGCCCACTGATGTCAAGTTGACCAGGAAGAAAAAGACAAAGGAAAACTGCCCTTTCTTAAGATGTGCTAGTGGAGGTGTTTCGTGGGTTGGTCCAGAGTGACATGCAAACTTTCCATTCACCTCAGTTAAGTCCTGTCATTCACTCAGCACGCACTTATTGATGCCCTACTATGTGCCACATGCTGTTTTAGGTGCCGGGAGCACAGCAAAGCAAGGCCTGGCTTGAATGCCACTTACGTGGAAATTTTGGATTTATTCAAGGTCCTCGTATTGGAGCTTCTGTAGGGGAAAGAAAAGAGGCTATGAAAACATGTCCCAGAGCCCTGACCATAGGGAACATCCCTCAACTGGCTGAGAGCTAAGGATCTATCTGGAAGGCATTCCTAGCAGCATCATGGGCAGGAGCTGTTCATGTTTTACAGATGAGGAAACTGAGGCACACTCCTCTTCCTGCCTCTCCTGCTCAAGAGTGTGGCCTTCAAATAGTGAGCTGACTTTTGTTAGAAGGAACCCAGCATCTCCCAGGGGAGCATAAGCGCTCTGTCTCCCATGGTTCATGGCCTGGAGATTTGGTGGGTCAGTGGTTCCAGTGGACTGGTGGGCAGGGCGAGTGTCCCTTTGCTCCGTGGCTGCCCTTGGTCAGTACTGCAGCAGTCAGAGCTCTGGGACAATGGGGACGTTTCTGGGCATTAAGTTGCATGGTCTTCTGAGCCATCTGCACCCTGTGCTGCCCTGCCCTGGCTTCAGATAGCATCTTCCCCCTGCCAGTGTGTCTGTGAGTAGGCACTTGTGTGCATCAGCAAGGTTCTTGGACTGCAAAGATTCAGGCTGTGCCGTGTGATGCTGGGCAGGGTTGGTGGCTGCCTTGTGCCGATTGTCCTTCAAATGGTCTACCTGCCTCCTTTTGAGACCTTCACAACCCTGGGGGCCAAGAGCTGCTCCAGGCCTCTTAGCGTCATGACGGCAACAGCTACCGTTTCTCGAGGGCTGGCTGCAACCCCTGACCCCGTAGTTCATACTTTACGTGGGTTTTCTCCTGACAACAGTCCAGGCAAGGAGGTGGGTGGGTGTTCTACAGCCACAGATGGACACGCTGTCCCCCTTGAGGCTTTCATTTTAGTGAGAGCCAGATGAGAAACAGGTGAATAAAATAAAAGAAGTGCAGGACAGCATGTTGGGAGATGGTAGCTATTTCCAGTTTACAGATGTGTCTGAGGTCTGGGAGGTTGGGTAAGTAGCCCAGACTCAGTGATTACACGGTGGAGCTGGGTTTCTGAACCCAGTGCAGAAGGGTCTGCTGAGAATCAAGTATGGAAATCAGTACCCATTTTACAGATGAAGAAACTGAGGCCTAGGGGTTTACTTAACTTGTCCAAGGCCAGGCTGGGTTGAACCCAGGTTCACCTGACTTAGGAGTTTGAATTCATCCCCTGGTTGACTTCCCCACACCTCGGTGACAAGGGTGTTAGCTATTTCCCAAGGCCAACGAGGCTTCCAGGACAGGTGACCTGTGCAAATCTGCACATGATCTAGGATTTGAACCCCAGACCTTGGCCCGACTGACCTGTACCTGTTTGCTTTAAGGCGCAACGTGCTCAGCTTGTCTTCTGGAATCGACAGCCCCGGCTCACTGAAGTGGGACCTTGCTCTCTGCCTTCTTTTCGTCTGGTTGGTCTGTTTCTTCTGCATCTGGAAGGGCGTCAAGTCCACGGGGAAGGTGAGTCGTGCTTCTGTCCCTCCCCGGCCTCATGGAGACTGGCCCTCGCCAGAGCCCTTCCTGCCCGAAACTGGCCCTGACCCAGGAGGGGGTTCGGGCTGATAATCCAGTCCTCAAAAAACAAGCAAAGCCCTGGTTTGTGACATCCCCTCATTGTTCGGTGCAAAGACTCCCACCATGTCTGATTTGAAGTTATTGATGGTTTAACAACCAGCTCACAAAATTCCTGAAAATGGAACGCACCATCAAGCTTTCTCTGGAGCCTGCACACGCTCCCAGACACCACTGTTCCCCCATCGAGGTGTCGGCCGTGATGGATGTGGTTGTAACCAGTAAGTTAGCTGGACACGAGGTTTTCTGTAGTTCTGCTCTTAGTTACCAGCTCTTAATGGACAATGGGGACCTTTGCTTTGCGATGTGCCCTGACCAGCAGCGTCAGCACCCGCTGGGGGCTTGTTAGACACGCAGACCCAGTGGGCCTGCCCTGGACCTGCAGAATCAGAAACCGCATTTGAGCAGTAGCCAAGATAACACAAATGCACCTTGGGGTTTGAGAAGCATTGCCTTGGATTTTTGCTGCTAAGTCAAATTCACTGAATTATCTTGCTACTAACATTTTAGCTGGTAATTAATATGTTCCTTATTAAGGAAAGCTTTCACTGATGATTAAGTCATTCACTCATAACCAAGATGGTAGTTGTTAACCAAAATGTTAGCCAGAACTGAACTGCTGATTAATGTGTTACATGATGACCAGGATGTTAGCTATTAACAAAGGTGGTAGTGGATAATTAAAATGTTAGCTTATAATTAAGATTTTAGGAATATATTGATATATACTGGCAATAATGAAAATGTTAGCCTATAACAAAAATGTTCTGTGTTAACAGAGCTGAACAGTTACCTGCTAACTGGTCAGTCTAATGACAGTGTCAGTGCAGAGTGGTCTGTTGTGGTCAGACGTGTGAGCCGGAACCGGCACGAAGCCATAGCGAGGCTGTGGGCGTGGTCTGCCTTTACACCCATCTGTTATTTCCCCTCATCGTTTGCATCTTGATAGGGGGAAATCTAAGATCAAAAGCCCCCAAAGGTCAAAAGAGTATGTTAAAGTGCCATTTGAGGTACAGCGGTGAGCAGTGGTGAAGTCGTTCGGAGAAGGGGCCTTGGCTGCCCCAGAATTTGGAGTTACCACAACTGAAGAGCCCCTTGGGCAAAACCGTGGATCTGAACAGATTTCAGCTGGGCGAGATCTGGGCCCCATGGTTGCAGAGGCAGAATGGGAATGATTTTGAAATGGGGGCCTGCCCCCCCCCACCCCCATGCTCTCTGCCTGTTTCTAAGGGCAGAACTACCCTGTGATCCTAAAACCCAAGATGGAAGGGAAGTAGGCCGGGCTTCCAAGATCTCCACCCGCATCTCCACCTCCAGCTCACATCGTCCCCCAGGACGGGCAGAACAGGGCGCCTCGAGTTATTCCCACAGCTCCCTCCAGCTCATCCGCCTGTGTTGTCCCATCTCATCACCTCCTCTCTTTAAGTGGTGAGGGAACTGAGCTGGGAGAGGTGAAGTGACTTGTCCAAGGTCTCTCCCTCACCTCTGAACCTCAGTTTCCTCATCTAGAAAACAGGTGGTAGAGAGGGTTAAAATGAGGTGGGCTCACACCCTGCACAATGCTTAGCATACCCTATGCAGTAAGCCAGCCCCTTGCTCGCCCTGCCTCCGTTCCCCACATGGAGGTGAGTCTGTCAGGAAGTTTCTCTGGAGCACTGGTCCCGAGCATTGCTGGGGACGTGACCATAAGCTTCGAGCTTCTATGTCTGCCAAGCGCTGTTGTAGAAGTGGGGCCTGGGGATGTGCAGGGGTCAACAAAACACAAGATCCCTGTGGTCCCAGCGCTGCCAGGCTCATTGGTTGTAACAAGGGGAATGCGAAATACAGGGTAGGGCTAAAGTAGGTTTACAGTTGTGAGCATGTGAAACAGTTTCTTCTATTATTGGATAATTATTGTATTATCTTCCATTCGAGCAGCTGTAAGCCTACTTTTGCCCCCCCCGTGCATAGGAATAAGGTAGTGACAAGACCTACGAAGAAGAAGAATGAGGCAAAGGAGAACAGGGAGTATTGGCTGCAGTGTTAACAGGGTGGCCAGGCAAGGTTCACCGAGAAGGAGACTTCGGGCAAAGATCTGAAGGAAGTGAGTGGGTGAGCCGTGTGGATATCTGGAGGAGAAAAAACTCCAGGGAGAGAGAACAGCTAGTGCAAAGGCCCTGAGGCGTGTCTGACCCAGACCCTTGAGGAGCCCCCGCTCTGATGGAGGAGGCCAATGTTGACCAAGAACAGTGGGCAACGTTTGAGAGACAATAGAGGGAGGAGGAGAATAGAATCAAAGCAAAGCAGAGTTCGGGTGCCAGAGGTCCCCTGGCCTGCCCCTAGAGACATCCTCCTCCTCTGGCAGCTCCAGGCCCCTGAGGGGCAGGTGTGGCTCCCAGAACAATAGCAGGGTCTGGGCCAGCCCAAAGAAGCCAAGACAAAAGCACAGTTAGGCTCAAGCTCCACCGCCTGCCTGCCCACCACTTGCGTGGTTTCCAGCCTAGCCACAGACCGAGGTCCAGGAAGGTGACAAAAGTCCAGACCCAGACCCTCACACAGGCACTACCATCCTGTGGACCCAAAGGAGGGACAGAGCACACGTGTCCTCAGGCGGCGCCTCTCCATCACTAGCCTCCAGGGCAGCTCTTCATCCAGTTTAGAAATAAAGCAGGGGTGGTGGTCAGAGCCAGACCTGGTTTTGGGTCTCAGCTCTGCTCCCCACAAGGTGCATGACTGTGGGCAAATCCCTTCCCCCCTCTGAGCCTCATTTTCCCCTTGTCTGAAGTGAATTGGCAATGCCATCTCCCCCCCCCCCCCCCCGCCAACACACAGGGGTGCTGTGAGGACCCTCAGGGCCTGCTGAACACTGGGCACCAACCCACAGCCTCACCTGCCCAGGTCTGCACCCCCAAAGGACGCTCAGGGCAGCAGGAGACTAGCCCAACTCTCCCGCCTCGCGGGCCACCCTCTCCCCACTGTCACTAGAGAATGAGGAAGAGTTGCAAGTTTCCAGGGTAGTTGGGCCATAGGGCATTTGGGTCGAGGGCTCAGAGGAGCCACAGAGGTTTGCCAGCAAGAGTGGAAAACTACCACGTCCTGTGGCAAGGCCTGCTGGGCCACTGCCAGAGGCCCACTGGCGGCGGTTGGCACCAGCCTCTCCCACAAGCATCCCGGGGGAGTCACGGAAAAGTTGAGAGAATAGCTCTCAGGGGCTTGTCTGTCCTTAGAGCGGCAAATTCTGCAAAACAAGGGTGGCTTTGTGAGGAGGCAGCCGAGGTGAGGCGGCCAGGTGGGGCAGTCCTGTTCTGGATTTGGGAAGAACACGAGACAGGACTCCGAGGCAGGCTGGCCTGGATCGCATCCCACCTCTGCTAGCTCCGGAACCCCGGGCAGCTGACGCCACCTCTCGGAGCCTCAGTTTCCTCGTCTACCTTTTCGGGTCGTGAGGACTAAGTGAGTTAACACGCATAAAGCTCTTAGCATAGTGCCTGGCACACAGGAAGCGCTACGTAAGTGCTTGTGAAACAAAGTACATACAGGAAAACAAGGGCCGCCACCCCCATCCCCCGCTGGTGTCCTGTGTCCCTGACACAAAGCCCTCTGGCCACCGCCTGGTTGTCCAGCCCAGTGGAGCCCAGCTAGCTTTGAAGTAGCCGCCCTCTGGGGATGGCCTGCTGTCAGCAGCTATTGTTCGGCTGCCCCGGGTGTGGCCACGGCAGGGCCCAGAGGTGGGAACTGGTCAGAGGCCTGTCCGCAGGAAGGGAGGAGCAGCTCACTGGGTTTCTTCTTTCACCCCTTCTGGGGCTTCCTGCCCTGCTCCCACCCTCCACGTCTGCCTTCTTGTCCTTGGGAAGTAGGGCTCTCTGCCTCAGGAGAAGGGACTAAGGGTGGCTGGGGAAACTGAGGCTGGAGGAGAAAGGGTGTCTGGGGAGAGTGCAGCAGAGGCAGAAGCAGGCCCACCGCCTTATGGGACCATCAGGAGAGTAGCCCCGCTAAGGTGTCTTCAGGGCTCACCAGGCGCCAAGTGTCCGGAGAGGTGAGCACACTCATGTCCCTCCTACACCCGGGAGCTGAGGCCCGGCGGCCCGGCTGGGAAGTGGCAGGAACTGTCCGAGCCCCAGTCTGGGAGATCCCAAGCTGACACCTTCTGCCACTCCGCCCCTTGCCCTGGAGGGGACCTCAGAGCTGCACCGGTGGGGGCTGAAGCCCAGAGAGGGACAGGAACTTGCTCAAGGTCTCTCAGTAAAGCTGGTCTCCCTCAGGCCTTTGGGAGGATCGACTGAGCGGCAGGCGGAAGGGCTTCGCGCGGCTCGGTGCTGTCGTTCAGAGGCGGCTCCGGGCACATCTCACTCCGCCACTTAAGTGCCATGTCACCTGTGTGGGCAAGTGGTGGACTCTCTCTGGACCTGTTTCCTTGCCTTCAACACGGGGATAGTAGTAACACCTACCTCAACATGTGGATAGGCAGAACCAACTGCACATAGATGTTACTGCACTTGGGATGGCGCCGGGCATGCAGTAAGCACTCAATAAATGCTGGCAGGTGGTATTAGCTGAGGGCGGCTGAGTAAGACAGGTCCTGAGAGCTTCATTTTAGCCTTTTTCCAAAGCCCCTTTCTGATTGTTTTTACACAAACGGATGGTGGCTACCTGAGAATTCGGCTTCATCAAGGATTCCTGGCACTGCCTTCTCCCCGCAGCACCACAGCACATTTGTCCTGTTCTCAGTCTTAGTTTCCTCACCTGTAAAACGGGTGCATTGGCTGTGGTAGTTCCTCCCTAGTCTCTTGGTCCCCAAGGCCCTCAGAGGGAGCCGGGGGCTCTGGGTGCAGACCCTGAGCTCTGCAGATATCCTGGTCAAGTCTCTGAGCCCTGCCAAGCCTCGGTTCCCCTGTCAACAGGCAGCCAGTGTATTAATTTGGAGGGCACGGTGAACGTGACGTGGGCTTGTGCCTGGGGAGCCCTCGCTCAGCCAGTGCCTTGCTGGAAATGCCAGGATTTCACTGTCCATTCAGGCACACACCTTTGAGCTCCTTCCAGGCACAAACCCTGCCTGGAATCTTCTCATTGTGAAGAAAAAGATGGGGAAATCTATCCACTAGAACCGAGGTTGTAGGATGTTTGGAGACCAGTGCTTTTAGGACAGGAGAAGGAGAGAAAGTAGGGTAGGCCCCTGGGGATGGGAAGGCCCAGGCTGGGTCATCTCTGGTCCACACCTTGCATTGACCTTGACCTGGCTGGGATGTGCTATGTGAGCCAGGGAAGGCTGTGGGCCTCCCATAGCTCCAAGGAAGTGGAGGGCCTTTCCCCACCCTGGCTGAGGGGCTTTAGAAGCCTCATGTCCTTTCCAGAGGTTCCCTTGTGCTTCCTGCAAAATCATACTGTCAAAAACAGGTCCATTTCTCGAGCACCCAACTGCCAGACAAGCGCTGTCTTGATTATGTCAGAAGCGTCATCCTGTTGAATCCTCATCTCACCTCTTGATGCTGACCTTTTGTTTCTCTTATCTCTTACACACGAGGCAACAGGCCCAGAGAGGTTAAGCATGATGCCCAAGGTCACACTGCAAGTGAGGGAATAGAACCGGGATTTGAACCCACACTTATCTGATTTTCACCATGAGTCACACTGATAGCGAATATGAACTAAGTGCCACGTGCCACCGCTGGGCTAAGCCTTTTCCGACGATTTACTCTCTTCGTTTGCATTTTCCATCTCTACCCACTAGAATGTGAGGGCAGGGATTTGTTCTGTCTTGTCCAGCACTGTATTTCTAAAATATAATTATTTAGTAACTATCTATAGAATTTTTCATTGAATCTCAGTAAATCTATGAGGTGTAGGTACTTATACCCAGGTTACAGGTGAGGCAACTGTGGCTCAGAGAGGTTAAACAATATGCCTAAGGTCACACAGCAGGTGAAACAGCAAGGTTGGCCACAGAACCCTGCCTCGGGAAAGATGCTCTAATTTAACAGCAGTGGGAGGTGACACAGGCCCCCATGAATCCCTCTTGTCCCTCACAGGTTGTCTACTTCACGGCCACTTTCCCGTTTGCTATGCTCCTGGTGCTGCTGGTTCGTGGACTGACACTGCCTGGTGCAGGCGCAGGCATCAAGTTCTATCTGTACCCTGACATCAGTCGCCTCCAGGACCCACAGGTACTGCGGGGCAGCCTGTCCTCCCTCCTACCCAGGGCTGTGGTTCTTGGGCGCACAAATCTAGCTGAGCCGTCACCCCCTGGTACTTTTCCACTGGGTGGTGGCGGATCCTTCACAGTGCTCATGGGCTTTTCCAGCTACGTGTGTATCTTTTCATGTTGAGGACTCCTGAGGCAGGCCAATTATAGAGTCTTCTTTAGGCACTGCGCCAGGGAAGAGAGAGAGAAGTCTTTCTGAGCTAGTGTCTCCTTGGAGCTGGCCTCTGCCTGCACCAGCCAAGAAGGCTGCATCGTGGGGGTGGGAGAGCCGCTGGCTTCCTTGGCCAGGGATGGAATTCGGAGTTAGTGACCTCTTAGACACTTGAGGGCTCAGTACTGAGTGTTCACCTCTGGGCACTCAGCCACGTGACCACAGGGGTTGGAGAAAACCTTGGGAGATTTTATGGGCCTGTTTAAAGATGATTTTGTCCTCAGGATCCTCAGCCTTCAGGTTGCTGCTTTGGGTTTCTCCCCCCCTCTCTCCTCACCATGGGCAGAAGGTAGAGGGGCGGGGACTTGGCCAGTATCAGAGGACAGCATGGAGGGCAGCTTTGTGGCCAGAAGGAGACCTTCCTAAGGAAGGTTCTGGGAGCAGCTTTGCCTGCATTAACCGTTAGGGGATTCTTCTCCATTCCAACTCAGGGTCCCCTGACAGCAGCCTTGACTCACGGGCTGCCACTGGCACTGTGCTAAATCTTTATTCTTTGAAACTGCAAAATAGCTCTGTGGGGCAGGGCCGTGGAGCCCATTTTACAGTGTGCAAACTGAGGCTTCGGGAGTCATATTTACTTGTCCACGATGATTTCGTGGTTGGAATCCAGACCCATTCGCTTTAAAAGCTCAGACTCTTAACCCGATGCTGAGTGACTGGGGTTTCTTTAACTTCTTGGGTTCCTTGAAGCTCAGTGTGGTCTTGAAAGGCACCTTGGATTTCAGCACAGACACTCCGATTGCAATTGAGAATTTGCACGTTTTGAGATTCTGTCCTCAGTGACCAGGTGGCCAGGGACCCACCCTGCCTACTACAGGAGGCCAGCTCTAATGGCTCCTTCTCTCCTTGCCCCCTAACCCCCGCACCCCCATAGGTATGGATCGATGCTGGGACCCAGATCTTCTTCTCCTATGCCATCTGCCTGGGGGCCATGACCTCACTGGGGAGCTACAACAAGTACAAGTACAACTCGTACAGGCAAGTGTTGTGCCAGCGGGCCTGGTGGACCTTAGAAATGATGATGATGTTTAAAGAAAAAAGAGAAGAAGTAGGGAGCGTGGCTTCCTTGTGTTGTGAATTAACTTGCTCCCTGACATATGTGTAACTTAGGGACTGTATGCTGCTGGGATGCCTGAACAGTGGTACCAGTTTTGTGTCTGGCTTCGCAATTTTTTCCATCCTGGGCTTCATGGCACAAGAGCAAGGGGTGGACATTGCTGATGTGGCTGAGTCAGGTATGGTGGTATCGGTGGCAGTGGTGGTGGGCACTGCCACCTAGTGTGTAAGCCGAGTACTGCAGGCATGAAGCCAGGCCCCAGGGGCTTTGGAGGGGGGGGACGAGCCTGGTTTCCAAAACGGACCCCCCCCACCAAGATGTCCCCCAAGTACTAAAGAGTACAAAAGCTAAATTTTAAACACTTTCATTGCAATCTGGCCCAAGGGGTGGCAGAAACATGGGTTTGGTTAAGTTGGGGAATATTTAGCTACTTTCGAGTGGTCTTCCCCCCTCCCCTCCCTTCCCCAGCAAACTCATGGTTTCCGAAACAGAACCACTTTCCTAACTCAGGCCCAAGTCAGCCACCAATCGGCATTCCATCACCACCTTCTCAGCTTTGGTTTCTGTATTTTGCACTTTGCTCCCAGCGCGCTCCCTCTAAGCAAACCCATTCATTCATTCCACTGATGTTTATGGATTTATTGAGTCTCTACTCTGTGTCAGGCACCACCGTAGGCTTGGGGTGGGGGAAGACATCGGGCATGGCAGGCTGCCCTCTGGGACAGGACAGATCTGATTTGGGGGTGGGTCGTAGGGACACTGTCACCCTCTCAGGGTGTGGGCCCCATTGGCAGTGTGCTCCTCCCCGGGACACTTGGAAGTGAAGGAGAGAGTCTTAGAATTATGCATGAACTCTGCTCAGCCAGGGATCTTAGGCTGGGACCCTGGAGCTCCAGCAAGACAGTTCGGGAATCTGAGAAGCGTGAGGTCTTCAGTTGCTAGAATCCTAGAGCCTCAGAACCACAGTATCTCAGGTGCCTAAATTCAAGGACTGGCCACGATGCACTAAATCCTGCACCTACAGCTTTAAACTGCAGTGGCTTAGACATGGGGAAGAGAACCTTAGGCTCCCGGGATCCTCAAGTCCACCTTTATGGCTTCTCTGCCCTTTTTTTGTCCTGCCCAATTCACTTTGAAGGTGGCTGTCAGTTGCCTGGAAGGTTTTTTATCTTATTTTACACACCTCCTTCTGCTCCGCCTGACCTAATTTCTCATGACCTCTGTGGGGCCTCTTGGAAGCAGGTGGGGGTTCTGAACTGAGGCATTTCAAGCCTGGAGGAGAGCACAAGGTCCTGATTCCAGAGATCACCATAGACCAGGGTTAGGCACAGCTGGAGTCCCTGCCAAGGTGTCACCCTTGCCCATAGGACCCTAGAGGTGGGGGCTCAGGGGTGCCTCAGCATTGTGCATTCTGATGTTTGCTCCATAGATGAGACCAATGGCCTGAGAACCTTGGGCTCGTCAGATCTGGGGTCTCTAGGACAGGGCCCCTCTGACATGAGGGTGTCCCCCCTCCTGCCTTCCCACCCCACCTTGGACACATGTGACACATATTTTCCTGTATGAGAATGTGAGCTCCCCTGATCTCTCTGAGCCCCTGGGCCCTGCTTTCCTCCTTACTTGCAAAGATGCCGCCTAGCCCCATCCTCCCACCCATAGGTGCAGGCCCGCGTGGCAGGTCCATGCTTCAGCCCCATGCATTTCTCCACTGCCCCTGGTTTCAAGCAGACTTCAGTCATAGTTTTCCTGCCCTGAGAAACCCCCAAAGGCAGGCCTGAGACTGAGGACACAGAAAGTATTTCCAGAAATATCCACATCCCCCTGTGAGCTGGCAGAGTGGTGAAGGGAGACAGTATACACCTCCTTCGCAAGTGGCTTTTTTTTTTTTTTTTCAGTCCAGGGCTTGCAAACCGATTCTGATTGGTTGGGAATCGCCAGGGGCATGGAGTGAACTTGGTGGTGGGAGATATGTACGCTATATAAGACGGCTGTCTGTGCACAGCTAGGTATTTATGTGTATGTATACGTTGTCAACCCAAGTTGTTTTCTTCCTCCCGTCCACTTCAAAGACCTTGGCGTTTATTCCCCACGGTGATGTCTGACAGCCGACACATCAAGGGTGATTATTTCTCTAATAAGCTTTTAACAAGCACCATATTGAGCCAAGCACATTTGAACAAGATCATTATTTAGCTGAACGGAGAGCAAACGAAGTGTAGAGAGGCGGTTCTCTGCTACCAGGCGTGCAGAGCTCGGAGCGGCCGCATTGTCCCACATGGGTTCTCTCCGAGTTCACCGTGCGCTTTTACACCGGCGCGCAGACCTCTCCCAGAGGCTGGCTTGAGAAACGCAAAACTGAAATACAGAAACGAGTGCACTGAGAACCTCCACAGGCCCCGAGGGTCGGGGGGACCAGGGGTGGGGGCCCCATTTTACATCTGTCTCGAAGTCAGCTGGACTTGACTCCTCACGCAGAGCTGACGTGTTGGGGGGCCGGGGCCCCAGCCTAGGTGGAAGCATGGTTTCCTAGTTCACCTTGGGCTTTGGGCTTAGTACGAGCACCCCTTCCACTTCTTAGGTGCTGGTTTTCTAGCCGCCTGAGGACGCTCGGTCATGGTTGGATTGTCCTCAGGTCGAGTGGACTCTGGATTATCAAAGGACTCGCCCTTGACCGCCACATTAGTATTTAATGCTGTGGGATGTGGTTTCTGGCTCCAGTGTATTACAAAGGGTTTTTTTTGTTTGTTTGTTTTTGTTTTTATTTTTGTTTTTGTTTTTTCCCCCATTCTTACACCATTCATTTGGTTCTGATATCTGCTTTAAATATCCTGCCTCCAGCCCTTTTTGTTTCACATTTCTTTTCTTGACCTTATTTTTTCTTTATAGTTGTGGGTTTTGCTTTATTTTTTCAGCTCCGGCCTTTTTGGCCCACATCTCTCGGACCCACAGGTCCCAGTACAGCTCAGTTCTTCCCCCTGGCGTCTTCTCTCAGGTCGGCTGGAGAGGGGAGACATGTCTCATGTCTTCAGAATGTTCCCGTCAGAAAGGCACCCCTGAGCCGATGGGGCTCCTGTCTGCCGAGCCCTGCCACCAGGTTCTGTCAGGGTCCCCTCTTTAGAAACCAGAAGGCCTTTGCTAGGGAAACAATGTCAGCATCTGAGAATCTGGACATGAGGAGGCTCCTGCTCCTCACTTCTCAGGTGGGGAAACTGAGGCCCTGAGTGGGCGTGTGGTGGTGAAGCCTAGGAGGAGGAGAGAGTGGGAGGGGACTTCAGTGTCGGCCGCGGGTCTCCCAGGCCTGGCAGTTTGCCCTGCACACTCTTCCCTTCAGCTCTGGGCCTCGGCTCTGACGTTGCTCAGGTGGGTGCGCAGAGGCACCCCTGGACAGACCTTTGCCCTGGGGGCCATGGTTCTCCATTCTTTTTTCTTTCCATTCATGCAGTGTTTCAGTAGAAACCTTTTCTTTGCAGATGGGGATTTAGTAGTCAGGTAACCAAACTTTTCCTCTCGCTTCCTTCCAGTAAATGTTGGCATGGTTGCTCTGGTTTGGGGCGGGGGGTGCTCCTTTTCCAAGCCGGCAGACTGAGTCCAGGCTCAGTCCCCTTTCCCACCCCAAATAACCAGTGTCTGTCTGGGTTCTGGTGTGTGAGGAGGCCACTGTGCTGCTGCTTAGGAGACAGATGCTAAAACGGGGCCCTGCCTGAGCGCCCGTGCGTCCCACCCAAAAGTGAGACCGGCCTGGTCTCTTTCCCCAGGCAGGAATCCAGGCCTGGCTCCTCCCTGCATTTTGGGTTTGGGAGACCCGCCTTAGACCCAGGTGTCTTTGTATGAGCTCCGGTGCTCTGGGTGCTCAGCCACTAATGTGTCTCCCCCTCTGTCCCTCCCCATCTTCTCTTCCCTTTAGGTCCTGGCCTGGCCTTCATTGCCTACCCAAAAGCTGTGACAATGATGCCGCTGCCCACGTTTTGGTCCATTCTCTTTTTTATTATGCTTCTCTTGCTTGGACTGGATAGCCAGGTATGTACAGATCGAGGGGCTGGCCCCGGGAACAAAGCCTCGTCTGTGCGGTGTGAGGCGGCTACAGCTTGCCTACCCTCTCACCAGACTTGCAGCAGCTTCAGCCAGCAAGGGTTCCTCTGGGACCTGGGGGTGGGAAGGCCTCCGGGCAGCAGAGGGACATCTGCCCCAAAGCTCAAGTCTTTGCCTCAGCAAGAGGAATGGACAACCAAGGGGTGTGGCTGGGACAAAGCTAAAGGTGGGAAATAAAAGGGCAAGGCCGAAGCAGAGATGGCGCGCCCCCGTGGAGTGGCTGGCAGGGGCCCAGGGGTGACCAGCGCAGGAGAAGTCAAGGGAGGGACCAATGTTTCTGCTTAAAGCACAGGTGGACCTGCCCGGCTGCACCGAGAGTCAGTGAAACCCTAACCCTCAGTGCTTCCTAAACAGCTAAGCACTAGGGAGCCTCCCTCAAACCCACCCTGTCGTCTGGCCATCCTGGCTTCTGCCCTCCTGAGGCAGACTCCCCCAACGCTGTTTCCTGTACTTCTCAACTCGCACAGGCTCAGGCCTCCACATGGTGCGCAGTGTCAGCCACCCAGGGGCTATGTCTGTCTTTGGAGTAACACAGTTCTAAGTCCCCCAAGCTGCTGTGTGACATTGGGCACATTTCCTGCCCCCTCTGAGCCTCAGTTTCCTCATCTGGTAAATGGGTATGATTCTCTCTCCATTGTCCTGTGTGAAGCACCAGGTACAGTGCCTGGTGCAGAGCAGTCAGTGGTGCTTGGAGGATGAACAGCGTGAGCTCTCAGTCACCTGACCCCGGAGATCTGTGTATTTTCACTGGGGTCTTCTGAGGGTGCAGTTTCCAGTACAGGTGTGACTCCAGAAGTGGGGAGTTATGGCGTGCAGGGCAGTCGGGTCCGGTGCCCAGGCTAGGTAGATTAGAGCTTTGCCTGTGGTGTCTGTCACCCAGGGACCAGATCTGAGGTCAGTCACTGAAAGCAAGCGTTGTGCCACTTCGTGTGTGGTCCGGGGGGTCTGACTGCCTCCTGGAAGGTCGTTGGTCAGCTGAGATTGAGTGAGAGGTGGGGGCTGTGGCCAGTTCAGGAGAAGGCTTTGCTGCCCACCCCGAGGGCAGCAGCCACAAAGCCAGTGACCAGCGCAGGTCCCAGGAACTCAGAGGAAAGTCTTAGAAGGTCGGGCAGAGCGGAGGAGGTGGTCCACCAGCAAGGTCAAGAGCAGAAAGAAGGATTTGGCAGAAAGGGAGCACGATTAGCAGAGAAGACAGAATGAAAATATTTGGGGGATTGAAAACAAAATACTTCCGCAGCTGTTGATGGGCTTGAGCTGTGTAAACAGCAGGAGGACTCCATTAATCATTCCAAGCTAATGAGTTTGGCCATCGGAGGCCCCAAGCAAATGGCTTTTATAACTTTTTCCAGACCTCTCAATGAAAGCAAAAAACAAAAATAGAGAGAGGTTAATAAATGATGGAGTCTGACATCTCCTTGGGCCCAAAATAGGCCTCTTGGGCAAGCGGAGGTGGTTTTATTCATTAGATTTTCTCCTTGGGAGGCAGGCGGGGCCAGCTGAGGACGTGTACCTCTGAGCTCAGCCCCACGTGGCCAGGACACAGGGACTCTCGGTGAGCTCGCAAAGCCGGCTCAGAGGGGATGGTTCTCTTCCCACTGTAGAGCATGGAGCTCTGCTCAGAGCACTTAAATGACCTGCCTGCTGACACACCAGCAAGGGACATGGTGGGATTATACCTGGTGAGCCAGGTGGGTCCTGGTGTGTCTCGTTCAATGGCAGAGGTTGATTAGAATTCTTCTTTTGCACTGTGCAGGCGGCCACAGTGGAGTGAAATAGAGTGGGGACGTCGCCCACGTGGAGGCAGATGCCTGTAGATGTCTGGCCTGCCTGAGGGGGACACAGTTTGTGAACAAACATCACAAGGAGAGAGCTGGAGCCCCTGTCCCGGGAGCTCACCCGTCCCAGCCCCATGATGTGGGTTAAAACCCGTTAATTGCCCGATTGCCAGTTCACTCTGATGATTTCAAATCTGCCTCAGCATCCTTGCTGAGTAGGCAAGGAGGAGAAACTGAGGCTTGGAGAGGTCAGGGTCACGTAGCTATTCAGGGAGACCAGTCTGAAGAGGCTGACGGGGGGGGCGGGGGGCATTCTCCGGAAAGGCAGGCGACTTGGAAAGAAGGGCTGGTGCAGGTCTTGGCTCTGACTCAGCGGCACTGGATCTTCCTGTCGAATTTCCCATCTCAAAAAAAGAACGAGCCTTTGTTTTTAAACTCCCTTGGAAGCTGACATTAGAGCTGCAGGTTCAGTAGCCATTTAGGTTCAAAATCCCTTAAGCTGACACAGCAATTAGAGGCTGAGACATCGGCCCCCTGTATTTGGTCCCTTTCATGAGCCTCTTGTTCATCTTTTCCCGAGTCCCTGGCAACAAAGAGTCGTTTCTCCTGTCCCCTCAGCACATGAAAGGGATCTGCTCCCTGGTCCTCCAGTGATGCATCCCCGAGGAGCAAGTGGTTGGACTTGTCTTGAGGAAACATTCCTTCCCAAAGCCTCTCCCAGATGAAAGAACAGACGGGTGCGAGTTTCAGCTTTTCAACCTTTAAAGAATCAGATCGGCCTCAGAGGGTGTGTGGTTAGCAGGGCAGTTTGTCTGTAGCTGTCCAGATGTAAAATGAGGCAACGAGCCCTTTCCTCCTGAAGTTTTGCTCTGTGCGCATGCACCTGAAGGCAGGTGGCGGGAGGGGTCCTTGCCCAGGTCAGCAGAGGCTGGAAGCAGTTTGTTGGGCAGGGGTTAGGCCTCTGACAGCACGGGGCCACAGCACGGGGCCACAGCATGGAGCTGTGTGCTGCCGTTTTAAAAACAAGGCAGCTCTCCGTGTAATGAAGTGGAATTCTCCAAGATAAATTGTTAGGTGCAAAGATGGGAAGATTCAGAAAGACTGAGGGTCATTCTAGAGCATTACCTCACATTTGGGAGCCCAGGGATGGGTTCCCAGAATCCATGAGCCCTGGAGTCATGGCTGCATTGCACTAACATACGTGGGCATGTAGGTGGGCACTCACGCAAAATTCTCTTGTGGGCCTACGATTCCCAGAGTTAAAACCACCATGAGACTGATGGGGAAACTAAGGCCCAGATTTGCCCTGGGTTACCCAGCCATTCGTCATGTGTCTGTTGAGCAACCACAGGTACCTGGTCAAGCTGGGCACTCAAGGCTTGGGAAGGAGGGGACACCACCCTCGGCTTCAGAGAGGACCAAGACCAAAGTGGGGGGAGGTCGTCTTGTTGACACACGCGTACCAGGGTGGAGGGTTAGCACTGGCTTACCAAGAAGCCGTCATTCTTGAACTGAGTCTTGAATGATGAGGGTAAGGCATTCTGGTGGCGGATGAACCTCAGCAGAGATCCGAGCCATGGAATATGGGGAGAACTGTGCATGGGCCACCATGGTAGGCCGAGCCCAAAGACCGGTTCACATGTTTGGACTTGACCCCGCAGGCTGAGTGCGGTGCCAGGCTCCTCTCTCAAAGCAGGGGGGAGGTGCTGGGCATCTGCCGCTCAACCGCTCTCTTTCTCCCCCCAGTTTGTTGAAGTCGAAGGACAGATCACGTCCTTGGTTGATCTTTACCCATCCTTCCTAAGGAAGGGTTTCCGTCGGGAAATCTTCATCGCCTTGATATGTAGCATCAGCTACCTGCTGGGGCTGACGATGGTGACGGAGGTATGTGACTGTCTCACCTGCATGAGGGGCCTTCCCTGATAGGTCACTTGGTGCCCCAACTATGTGTCTCAGAGCAGTTCAAGCAGTTCATGCCACCTCCCTGGTCTCAACAACAGCCGGATGAGAGGACCAGGGTGGGTAATCTCCTAGCCCCACCCAATTCAGGGGTCCTGCCCTGCCCGGGGTACTCAGCCTACACTGTGGAGAGGAACCCAGTAGTTGGCCCCCCCACCGTCTTGTCCCCCCATTGTGATTTCCCTGTTACCATGACAACACTGTTCTCTGTTTCTCCTTCATCCTGGAAGACCTGGGGGAGGGGTGCTTCAGCTGAAATCTATTTTAACAACAGCTCTGTTCACCCATGACTGCAGCCGCCCTTTGCAGGCCTGGAGTGGGTGGTTCTCGAGGGTAAATACTGTGGGCAGTGCCAGGGCCTGGAGTGTGCACTGTTCAGAGAGTGGGCAGGGGCCAGCAGAGGATCCATTTAAAGTGGGACAAAGAGGCGAGAGAGGAAAAGAGCAAGAGTGTCTAAGGCGGCAGTGGATCAGCATGTCTAGCAAGAAGTGGGCCAGAGGAAAAAAGATTTTTGTACTAAATAATGTAGGCATGTGAGCTTGCATAGGCCCAGGACACACCCTCTCCTGTACCTCTCCCCACCCACCTCCCCATATTCTCCAGCAGAGGATTGCATCAGCCCCCAAACTCAGTTCAGGGTTTCCCGTCACCACTTTTCCTTATTGGAAGTAAAAGTAAATTTTTTGTCTGGAAGTGTCTGAAAGAAACCTCCCCCTGCAAAAGGTAGACCACAGGTCCACACACTGAGCAGCTGGGTGTTGCTGAAGTCTTGTATGTTGGCCACAGCTGGTTTAATACCTCCTTTGGAAGAAGCTTTAGGGAACTTGTCATTTTTTGCGAAGGAAGACATGTTACTTTGCTTTCCTTTGTGTGTGTGTGTGTGTGTGTAATTTGTCAAAGATGAAGTGGAGTATCTTTTTACACAGGTATCTGGTTATCATAGTCTTTGCCAATTTTTCTTTTGGGTTTTATATTTTCTTATTGATCTGCCAGAGCTCTTTATATAAAAGGAATTTGATACCAAATAACAAATCAAACCTCTCTGTTTTTTTCCTTCACAGGGTGGCATGTATGTGTTTCAACTCTTTGACTACTATGCAGCTAGCGGTGTATGCCTCTTGTGGGTTGCATTCTTTGAATGTTTTGTTGTTGCCTGGATATATGGTGAGTACTGGTTTTTGCATATCCTTTCTCAAGTCTCTCCTTTGGGCCTATTTAGAAGCTTCAGAAACAGAATTCTAAGGGGAATTCATTCTGATTTGACCACAAAGGCTTTTCCTATCTGGACTTTTCATCTGAAGGCTGCCTCTTCCCCACACCAATAATTCTGTTGCAGCCAGAATTTTTCGTTTGCTAAAGGTGCAAGTGTGGCTGTATGTTCTGACAAACATAACTTGGCTGTGCAGGGATCTATCTATGATAACTACTCTGGGGTCCAGGAATGGTCCATATGGACCTCCTTGAGACCATGGATTGGTCAAACCAGGTTTTGAGTGGGGTATGCCTAAAGTGGCCGAAAAATATAGGATGCTCAGTTACTTTTGAATTTTAGATAATTTCAGATAAACATGTGCCACACTTGGGTCTATGTGGTATAAGATGCAAGGACCTGGATCAGGACCCAGAGACCCCTCATGGCTCTTGAGCCCTTGCTCTGTCATTCCCAGGGTGGATGCTGGCCTTGGACACCATGCCACCACTGTCTGCCTCTGTCTCTTGCAGGCAGTGATAACTTGTATGACGGTATTGAGGACATGATCGGCTATCGGCCTGGGCCGTGGATGAAGTACAGCTGGGCCGTGGTCACTCCAGTTCTCTGTGTTGTGAGTTTTTTCTTGCCTGGCTATGGGTAGAAGCCTTTTCTTATCTGCTAACCTGGTTTGCATTCAGCATCTGCTGAGTGCTGTCCGGAACAAGCCTCGCCACAGCTCGCATGGAAGGAGGTGGGGCAGGCAGCTCAACTCTGAGATGAGCTGAGATGAGTTTTGAAGGACGAGTAGGAGCCTGTCAGGAAGAGAAAACAGGAAGGGCGTTCCCGGCAAAGGAACCAGGCTGTGCAAAGGCAAAGTGTTCCTCAAAGAGGAAAACATATCGGGGCATGTTGAAAACTTCAGGGATGCGTGATAGAGTATGTAACCTTCCCCCAAACCCTTCCAGAGCTCATGAGCCCACTTTCAGTCACTGACTAAGGAGCCACTGGGGTGTCCAAAGGGGAGGTCACAGACATTGGAAATGTGGTGTTTCATGGCAGGGTGGGGGTTGTGACTAGAGAGGGGACTTCCCAGCAGAGAGATGCTCTGGGATCTCCCACGAACAAGGAAGCTGTGTACCAGCCCAGGGCCCAAAGGCCATGAGGTACCACGTTCCTCTTCCCGCCATCTTAGAATGTGGCCTTGGAGTGAGTACACGCAGGCACCCTGCCTGCTTCCAGGCTTCGCTCAGAGGCTCCGGCCAAAGGGAAATCCTCTGGAGCAAAAGCTGCTTTCCTGCCGGTGTCTGAAGCCAGTCTCGGGTTTTGGAGCTAGTGGCAGGGGAACACGCCTGCTCTGCCGTCTCGGCTCACGCGGTCGGAGGCACAAACGGCAGAAATGTTTCTTGCGTTTAGGGACCAGGGCCCGAGGAATCAAAGGGCCCTCCGCTCAGTGACTTCTGCTCCTCTGCCAGAATAAACAACGTTGCCATTAACTCACTGTGTGACGTTAGGGAAGCCCCTTCCCTCTCCACCCGGTTTGCAAAATGAGGGATGTGAGTGGCGGCTGACAACCTTAGGTTGTTACTGTTACTATTTAATATGGTTGTGGGCTTTCCATCTGAGGTACTTATTTTCCCCATAAAAGTAAGTAAACTATAGCAGCCAGTGACCACAACAATTGGCAATTTTGTTTTTGGAGGGAGATTTTGTTAGGTTCAGTGCCCATGTTCTACTTATTGCATGTGTGTGGGCAACTCCTCTCACCACTCTGACCATCAGTTTCTTCCTCTCCTTCCCTGGAGTTTTATAGATCAGAGATAGGTTGTATTCCAAGGTGGTAGGATGAAGTCACCCTCATGGGAAGAGGAACGTGACAGGCAGGTATGGGTCTCAGGCAGGTACAAAGCTTCCTTGTGTTGGGAGAGCCCAGAGCAGCGTCTTCTGGCACGCTCTTGTCTAAGCAACAGGCCAGCATGCAGCAGGGGCCCGATGGAAGGCACCTGCAGCCTAACGCCCTGCCATCACTTCTAATGCAGATAGATTGCATTCCCATCAAACCCAGTTGTTAGCCCATGAGATAAGTCATTTTCATATCTTGTGGGTCACCTGAGACAACCTGAGTTGTCATTCTGACCAGAGCAGGAGCCTCAGGCCCTCCCCGCCCAGCTGAATGTAGAAAGGGGGCCTCTGCGTAGGCTCTGGGGCTCAGAACGGACCCCACCTCATCCCATTCCATTGTTCATGGACACTGATGACCACGGGGCAGTTTCATGGGCTCGGGCTGGGCTGTGGATGCCCCGTCGGGCAAGGCTCAGGTCCACACCTTGTCCGGGGGCAGTGGTTCTCCACCTTCCTAAAGCCACGACCCTTTAGTACAGTTCCTCGGGTTGTGGTGACGCCCAACCATAAAATTATATTTGTTGCTACTTCATAAATGTAATTTTGCTACTGTTAAGTCTTAGGCGACCCCTGTGAAAGGGTCGTTCGACCCCCAAAAGGGTTGCGACCCACAGGTTGAGAACCGCTGCCCTAGGGGCTGAGTGTGGGGCTTGGAGGTGGAGGTGGGTGGGGAGGGGGGTGGAGGAAAGGCTTCACCCATGCAGCTGGCATTTATTATGCACCTGCTTTGTGCACCTGGAACCAAGTGTTAGAGAAATGGGGACGGGACACATACCTCCAGCCCTCACTGGCTCACGTTGGGTGGGCGCGTCATGTGCTGACGAAGTGATTGGAGCCACGTGCTCTCTGGGAAGGAGAAGTATGGGCACCTGACAGTCTGGACAGGGCCTGGACAAGTAAGGCAGGACCAAGGGAGTTAAACTAGGAGGAGGAGGTGAGGGAGACAGGTCCAGGCAGAGGGAACAGCCTGGGCTGAGGCCCTGGGGCAGTGGCTGAGGAGCTGGCAGGCATGCAGGATAGCTGGAGGAAGAGGGGGGGTCGGCGAGAAGGGAAGGGGTGCAGAGCTCTTGGTGGCTCCAGCTGAGGAGCTTGGACAGCATCCCGAAGGCACTGGGGAGCCACAGAGGGTTTGAGCAGAGAAATGACTTGGTCAGATATGCACTGGGGAAGGTTCTTATGCTGCAGTGGAGAAGGGTGTCAGGCCCCTTGGGTGGGGCGTGCCTTGGTTCCAGAAGCCACCCACCCCCCAGGCCCCGGACTCCCCTGACTGCCCCCATTTCTCCACAGGGATGTTTTATTTTCTCTCTCGTCAAGTACATACCCCTGACCTACAACAAAGTGTACGTGTACCCTACCTGGGCCATCGGGCTGGGCTGGAGCCTGGCCCTGTCCTCCATGGTGTGTGTCCCCTTGGTCATGGTCATCCGCCTCTGCCAGACGGAAGGATCGTTCCTCGTGGTGAGCACCTGGGGCCCCAGGTTGGATTGGGGGGGGGGGCGGGAGGCCAAGGCCAGCCTGCTCTCAGTTTGCTGTGTGACCTTGGGCATATCATTGGCCCTGAGTGCTGCACCCCTACCTGCCCCATGGAGTGGTTTGGATTGTGGGCAGGAGAGTACATCGTGGGAAAACTGGAACCAAGTACAGTTCCCATGGGAGAAGGCTCTGTGGTGATGTTCAGAGCCGGGCCCTAGCGGGAGGAGGCATTTGCCAAGCAGGGAATTCGAGATGAGAAGGGTGTAGGGCATGGTGCAAGGAGGCGCGACCGCACTGGGGCAGCAGTGGCACATTCTGGGGGTGAGCGGGTGAGAGGCTGGAGAGATGGTGGCAGTTTTCGATGCCAAGCTGAGAGCTAGGGCTTCATCTTAAGATAGGAGACTAGGAGCCAGGGAGGAAGCCCGAGCTCCACCCAGAGGCCTTCCCTTACCCTGGAGCCAGATTGCAAATAATCCCCGCCCGTGCTGGTGCCCCCTTCCCAGATCTGCAGATCTGTGGTCCTGTCTCTGCCCCACCCTCACAGGCCACCTCTGTCCTAGGCAGAACCTCCAGTTTCCGGCCTCTGTGCCTTTCAGTCTCCTCCTCTGCTGCCCCCTCCCTGAGGCCCACCTCCTCTCAGAAATTCCTCTGACAATACTGTAGATTCCAGGGCTCTTTCCAAGAAATCCTTTTCTTAGAATCTCCCTTAACCTTTGGGCTTGGGTGGACTCCAAGATTGCACTGTTTTGTTCTGGGCTGTTTTTATTGTTATTCTCTTAAAAATCTGGAGCCAGGATGTCCTGGGGCCCTGGCTCCCCCTTGGGCTGGGTGGGTTTCCTTGTGGGTAGGGGAATGGCCTGGAGGTATTGGTGGGAGGAGAGGTGGGGCAGAAAGGGACCAGCCTTCCGAGACAGAGGAAGTAGGCAGGGGTGTGCCAGGGAGGAAAACATGAAGCTCTGTCTGAGCCAGCTTGGCCCTTGGGTGTTCCTGCAGCATTGACTCATTGTATTTTCTCAAGGACACAGGGAAAGACCCCAGTATTCAGCCAGAATGCTGAATGGCCCTATCATTTGTTAAAACATTGAAATACTGAGCCCTGTGACAAACAGGCAATAGCGACTGCCCCGAGCCCTCTGCGTACCCCCTGCATATACACTATGCAACCAGTCCCTCCCCAGGAATTCCAGAATGTCCCTGCCATCCAGAAACTGAAGAGTTCATAGCAGAGGACTTGGATATCTGTTCTGATTGGTCAGTACCCACAGCAATTACATAGTTTAAGCATGGGGGTGGGACACAAGGACACCCAACAGGTCACTAACTTTGTCCCTTTACAGTCTAATTTTTTTTTAATTAAAAAAACTTTTTTAGAGAGAGGATGGGAGAGAGATACATCAATTGACTGCCTCCCACACACGCCCTGATCCAGGATTGAACCCACAACCTGGGTCTATGCCCTAACCAGAGATCAAACCCGCCACCTTCTGGTGTACAGGATGTCGCCCCAGTCCACTGAGCAACCCTAGCCAGGGCTTCAAAGTCTAATTTTAAAACATTGTTCCAGCCCCAGTTTAGAGGTTTGGTCAGAGTGGGGTTGGTGGGGGAGAAGGAGGATGCATGGGTGAGGAATCCACTTCACCCCAAACTTGCACCCCTTCCTTACCTACAAACCTAACCCCTCCTCCGAAGGCAGCTGTCTGTCTTTGCTACGTTCCCCTCGGGCTCCCACCTGCACAGGTTGCCCAGGTATCTCCCCAGCACGAATATCTTGGAGCCAGGTTCCGCAAACCCAGGTCTGTCCTGGGAGGAGTCTAGTTGCATCTCACCCCCCATATAAACGGAGCCGGGTGGCGGGTGGCTGTCCCTGGGCCTTTGACATCTGCCATGTGCACACCCCACTGTACAGATGTGGAGAGGCGGACGAGGAAAGGGGACAGGACGCCCTTCCTGCTGGCATTCCACCCCTCGCCCTCTCCTTGTGGCCTCCAGCCGGTCCTCCAGGGACCAGGCAGGAAACCCAGATGAGGGCAGCCGCTGGAGGGGGGGGCAGTGAACTGGGGAAGGTGATGGAAACCTGCAGCGGGCAGCCGTGCTCTCAGCTCTGGCCAGTGGTTACCGAGGGGACGTGGGCCTACAGTTGCCAGATCTTGCCATTTTTAAAAAGATGGAAATTGGATTTTCAGCGCATTTTAGGTAGCTTTTAATAAGCAGCTTTGAAAAGTTATAATATACCTAAACTGAATGCCTAGTGAGAGAACTTCTTATTCACACCACTTTCAATTTTAGTTTCTGAGTGGACACTTGACAGAGGTGGGCTGGGAGACAGGAGCTCCGAGTTCTTGTCCCAGCTCTACCTCTGTGTTCTCGGTGTCCTCGGGGAGGGCTCTTCCCTCACTGACTCCACGAGTGGGCAACCAGCGGAAGGATGAAGGGACCTCAGGAGCACCTTAGTTCGACATCTGCATTTGCCAGTGGGTGAAATGGGAGGTCCAGAGAGGACAGTGGTGAGGAAGAGGCCAGACGGCACACTGGCGGGACCCAGACAGGGTAGAAGGCCGTAATGAAAGGGAACCAGACCGCCTGACTTCCTGCCCGCTTCGGTCTCCTTCCTTCCCCAGAGACTCAAGTACCTGCTGACCCCGAGGGAACCCAACCGCTGGGCCGTGGATCGAGACGGGGCCACACCCTACAGCTCCCACTCGACCATGAATGGCGCTCTCATGAAACCGACCCACATCATAGTGGAGACCATGATGTGAGCTCTCTCGGGCTGACGGGGCTGCTTTCCTGCTGTTTACTAACATTAGATTCTCATAGGACCAGGTTTACAGAGCTTTATATTTGCACTAGGATTTTTTTTTTTTTAATTGTCACAGAAAATATTACTGTGTGTGCGCGTGTGTGTGTGTGTGCGTGTGCGTGTGTGTGTGTGGTGTCGTGCGTATGTGTATTTTGTTTTGATTTGGGGATATTTTGTACAAACAAACACCCCATGGGCAGAAGTCCGGGGCAAGGCAGAGCTTTCATACTGAATTAGATGTATTTTATGGGAACTGGTAAATTTTCCTTTGTATTTTTTTTTTTTTTTTTTTTTACATATAATTATATATACATTTAGAAATTGTCATACACTTTTACCACTTGAATTGATCTTCTTGCCAGCAATAGATCTCGTTTTCAGAAGCAATTCTTTGGTGCTTGTGTAGCTGGCAGAAAGTTCTGCCCCGAAAAACACAGGGTGGAAATTTCCTGGGACAGCCAACCCGTTTTAAAGGTGGAGTACCTCCCAAACCTGGTTCAAGTAGAAGCAGCCAGCAGGGAGAGGGCCCCTCCCTCTGGCCAGACCCACAGGGGCTGGAGAAAGGAGGGTTGTGAGGAGACGTCTCTTTACACTTGTAGCCAAGAAGAGAGATGCCAAAATAATGAACTAGGCACTGACTTAAAGGTGACAGGTGAGGCCCTAGAGCAAAAAACAAAATCCCACCTTTTATTTTGAGATCAATATATTTTGAGATCAATTTATTTGGTGAGGGACGAGAGGTGAGCGGGTGGACCAAAGGATGGAGGGCCCCAGGGTTCAGGGGCCCGGCGTTGGAGGGGGGTGCTTTTTTTCCCTCATCTCTCCACCCTCATCTCCCAGAGGCTGGGAGAAACTCCTGCCAAGCTCTTGTTGAAGACCCCAGCCCAGGGCCACACTGGCTCCGAGCAGGGAGAACCAAGAGTGTCTTTGGAGTTGCACCGAGTATTTGAATCCAGTGAAGTGCTCTCAGAACTCTTCCTCCAAGTTCATTCCCAAGTGCAACGCTGGCTAGACCTGAGCGATAATAAAACTGTATTTCCCAGTCCCTGCAGTAGCTGGTGTCAGATACGCACTGTGTGGGGACCGAGGGGAGGCAGTGAGGGAACACTGTCTAGGAAGCTGGGGTTGTTCAGGGGGCTGGCACCCCAGAACTGGCTCAACCAAGAATGGTGTCCTCTCTGAACCAGAAGGGAAGGTACTCTACCTTTAACATCCTGAGTGTGGACGCTCCTCCACCTTGGCCCCCATTTAGACCTCAACTGTGCCATTTAAAGTCACTTCCAAGTTCAGAGTCTAAACTAAATGGAAACGTCACAAAGGGCAATGACTGCCTAGCGGGGGGGTGGTGGGGGGTGGGGGTGGAGAGTGAAGTCCAGCTCAGGTTTTCAGAGCGGGAGCTCTCTGAATCCTGGAAACCCCCTCCTCAAATCCAAGAGAGGGGGGGCCTTTGGTGTCCCTCTCCCAAGGGGCAGAGGCAATTCTGAACTCTTGTCTTGGTAAACTTTCACATTTCACTGTTTCCAAAGCATATACTCTGCCAAACAACACCTATTCCAAACCGGTCACAGTTCCGATGTGTTCTTGTTTTTCTATGTATTTATGGTTGCGCTGTGTCTAACTTGACTTTATTGTTATTATTTTTTTTTCTCTCCCTAATTGTACTGAATAGCAATGTGACCTGTTTTCCTCTGTCTAATGGAACTTTAGTAAACTAACCACTTTCCGTGATTGGGGACAGGTGATGTGTGGAGCGAGGGGGGCGTGGCAAGCTGTGGCTACCTGGCATCTGTGGTCATTTCAGGCTGCATACATCTCCCCTCTGGGGCTCAGACCCCCAGCGAAAGGCCACAGGGTGGCGGGCAAATTGCAACATTCTGGAAATGGCCCGAGGAAGTCCTCTTCTTATAAGATTCCCAGACCAAATTCTAGACCAAAGACACATGCAGACCAAGTCCCCAGGTCCCACCTGGCTGGAAGGTCAGCCACTTTGCCCAAGCCCATTCCTCGAGTCTCCCCGGGCACCTGTCTCCAATTGCGACCCTCGTGTCTAATCCCCTAGCTCTGATGTATCCGCAGAACTTGGCTCTATGAGTACAGTGTGGAATGATGTGCAACTTTTATATGTCTCTACATAAAGGAAACTGTCATTGGCGCTCAGACTCTGGTCCACCTGTCACTGGAGAAGGGGCAGCCCTCTGCCCACTCTCTGCCTGGGATGGGTCAGAAATTCTGATGTCCACACATAGTCCAGCCAGCCAGATCCAGAAGGGATGTGAGGGAGGGGTTTAAAGAATTTTTTAGGATGCAGAAATGGGCAGATCTCACCAGAGAGATGCTTCGTCGGGCTGAGCCGGGGCCTGTCCGCCCTGCAGTGGAGCTGCACGGTCAGTGTTGGAGAGGCTTCCGGGGCCCCCCAGCCAACACCCTCATAAAATGGGGAAATGGAAGCCAGGAGCAGGGGAGGGACTTTGGCACCGCAGGTGGAAATGGAACCAGACTGTCCGTAGTCAGCTCTGGCTGCAGGTCCTCTGAGGTGTGTGTACTGGGTGCAGCTCCCCGGTGTTCTCCCTGAAGACCAAAGACGAGCCTTTAGGAAAAAGGAAATGCCCCATCCCCAGCATTCAGGGATGCGGTGAGCAGCACCCTCCACCCCCTGAGCATCCTTGGGTCAACTGGTCCCCAAGCTGTGACTCAGGCCTCTGGCAGGAGAGGCAGCCCCTGTTCACCCTGGCCCTGCACCCAGCAGCCCTCTGTGAGCTAGGCATTGAGACCCCTATTGCACATGAGGAAACTGAGGCCCATCGAAGCCAGTTGGTGTGCCAGAGGCAGAACCTTCAGGCAGCATTCAGCCGGACACCACGCAGGACATTCCCAGGCAGCAGGAAGTGGCGTTGGATGCCGATATCTGGGTGGTGCGCAGCTCCCTCTCGGTCCCTCTGGTCCCTCTGAGCCCAGATCCCAGCACGCCCCAGAGACAGTGGTGAAGCACCCGGGGAAAGCCAGCCCCTCAGCCTAGCAAAGGGCATTCCTGTGTCACCGGGCCCACTGCACAGTGACCAGTGATCCAGCTGACATCTCAACACTGCCCCTCTGGATGGGGAAATGCAGAGGTGCCTCCCTTCCCCCACACCTCAGACACAGGCCAGGAGAGGACCCAGGAGAAAGCCCCTCCAGGCAGTTAGTGGGCCCAACCAGCCCTCAGACCCAAGTTAGGCGACTCCAGCTGGGCTTTGCACGTGGACGCTGTAAACACCACAGTGCAAACATGCCACAAGCACAAAGCCATGAAACAAAAACCCAGACACCAAAATCGGACTGGACTGCGGGCCCCTCCCTCTCAGAATGCATCTTGTTTCGATCGGAAGCTGTTTCCTTGTTCCCTTGTGGGTGTCACTACAGACGTGTTCTGACAAGGTCCCTGAAAGATGAAGCATCTTGTGATACATTTGGCTTCAGACTGGGATGTTAGCTCCATTTTTTTTTTTTTTTTTTTTTTTACCCAATTAATTTTCAAATCCTTACCAACTGTGACTCTGTATTTAGCACAAGAGAAAGCTGGGAACGTGGGTCTTGCCTCCTTTCAGAAATATGTCTGCCTCATCGGGACTTTTTTTTTTAACTTCAAAATATTTTTAAACTATTTTAAACTTTTGTAAAAAAAAAAACAAAAAACAAGTCAACCAACAAGAGACTCTTCTGAGGAGGAACATTTGTATTTGAATAAGATCCTTGGTGTGTAATTCAGTCTTGCAATATACAAGCTTTTGTGTATACATGTTTTATGATATGAATCCCTGTATTTTGCAGGGTTTCCCTTTCCCCTTTTGCTTTTTAGATAAATATGTATATCGATATTTTAAATCCATCTTTCTTTTTTTTTTTTAGAGGAATTTGTAATCACCTTATAACATGAAAATAAACATTTCCTTTTTAAATCCAATACGTGTGGGTTCTTTTTTGATGAGGCTGTTTTTTTCCGACATCCGGCAAGTCCTTTCCAGTTCTTGATGGGCTCTCAGCCCCAGGATGCTCCTCAAAGGTGTTCAAGGCTGGAGACCCCGAGGCAGAGGCTTCTAGACAGGGTATGGTTTGCTCACTTGCACAGGGCAAGTCCGAGCAAGTCATTTGCACCCAGGTCCACAGACTCCTGGGCCGGTTCTGGCTGGTTCTACCGGTCCTGCTGAATGAAGCCACCTGCTACACACACAGCCCCATGCAGCTGGGAGAGCTCCCAGTCTGCTGAGCCTCAGTTTCCCCACCTGGAATAAACCACCGCCCCCTTTAAGGCTTCAGGGATGGTTAGAGATGATGCTCAGTGATCAGGCCCTCACCTGCTCTGGCTTTGTTTCCTTCTTTCCCAGCCCAGGGTTATCTTGCTGTAAGCTCAGGAAGGGGGTGTGGGAGGGGGGCACTAACCTGAGGTTGGTGCCCTCCCGGCTCCCTCGGTGTCTCACCAGGTGCAGTCACTAAAGCCTGATCCCATGCCATCCCATCAGGGCTCTGACTGCCAAGTCCAAGAGTGGGGCTGGGGGCTGCTGGACCATGGGAAGTGGCAAGACCTGGAGGTGTGCACATAGAGACCTCACAGCAGGACCTCAGGGGAGGACACTCGGGACCCCAGAAGGTCAGTGTTGGCACAGATGTCCTCAGCCTTAGGGGTCATAAGCCCAACACAGTTCTAGAGGGGGAAACAGACCAGGGAAAGGTTGATGTTGGGGCAGCCTTCCAGCCCACTGGCCCCATTACCCTTTGTGAGTGGGCAAGGTCAGGGAGCTTGCTAGGTCTTCTTTCTCAGTATTTCATTATTTATAGACAATGTTAGAGTAAAATCTCCATCTCCCCTCTTTTTCTGGCCATCTGCCTTTCTGTTGCCCTCTGTCCTCCTTCCTCCCTCCCTCTCTGAGTGTTTTGGCCATATGGCTTGTGTTCAAATCCTGACTTCCTTGTTACCTGTATGACCTTGGCAAGTTATTGAACCTCTCTGTGCCTCATTTCCTCATCTGTCGTGTTGAGATGGTAATAGAGCCACCGCTGAAAGCTCTTGGGAGGATCCAGGGAATTCTTGCAAAGCTCTGGGACCAGTGCTACCTCTCCCGGAGACCAGCAGAGTTCTGTAGCGCTGCAGCCTGGGTTTTCTTAGCCCAGCCACATAAAACGCAACCTGGGCTCAGCCCTTACCCCTCCTGAGGGGTAGCTCACTCCATCTGGTATAGCTGATGAGAAGCTCTTCATCTGTCCACAGAGTTGTGGCTCCCCCAGTGGGACCCAGCCCTGCCCCTTGGGCTCATCCTACCCATGATACTACCCCCAGGCTGCCCCCTGGGCCCTTCCCCACCCAGGCACAGAGAATAAAATCCATAGTCCATACCTCAGCCTTCATGATTGGGCTCTCCGACCTTCAGTCTGGTCTCTAACCCCCTCCCTTCCCCTGCCACATTTCTCTTCCTTGAAACCATCAATCTCATTCCCAACTTGGCCTTTGCACTTGCTGTGCCCTCTGCCTGGGACATGCTTCCTCCATGTCCCCACAGGGCTAACTCATATTCCTTCGGGTCTTGGCACAAAAGCCACCTCAGCGAAGCCCTTCCTGACCCCCTGAACTAAAGGTTCCCAACCCCAATCACTGTCTTCATTACTGTTTTCATTGCTCTTTATTCCTCCTAAACAATTCTTTATGATATTTTCACTTGTCAATTGTCTGTCTTTCGCTAGAATATAAGTTTCATGCAGACAGGACCTCATCTCTTTTGTTCTTGTTTTTTCCCCAAGGGCTAGAATGATGCATAGTACACAAAGACTTTTTGAATGGATGATAATGAATTAATCAAAAGCAGGTGAGCCCTGGCCAGTTTGGCTCAGTGGTTAGAGTGTCAGCCCATGGACCAGTGAGTTCACGGGTTCAATTCCGGTCAAGGGCACGTACCTCAATTGCAGTTTCTCCCCAGCCCTGGTTGGGGTCATGCGGGAGGCAGCCACTCGATGTGTCCCTTTCATGTCGATGTTTTTCTCTCTCTCTTCCTCTCTCCCTACCACTCTATCTGAACAAAAGTGGAAGGATATCCTTGGGTGAGGATAAAAAAAAAAAAAAAAAAAAAAGGTGAGATGTTACAAGATCCAAATAGAAGCTGACTCTTGCCAGCTTATGATTTTAAAAAAAGTAGACACCCTAGTTTAGGTGCATTTAAGTAATTTTATTTAAAAAAATGCAAATCATCCCAACAGCACCCCACCCCCAACTTCCAAGTCATGGCAGCCCCTGGTGGGACAGACAGATTTACACGGGGCGCAAACAGACCCCAAATGGCCTTTGCAGTGCACCCCCCCCCTTGGCTTGTAGTGCTTCCCGAGAGCCCTAAGAAACCCCATGTAGAAAAATACTTTACAAGGAATATGCTCCCATCTCAGCCAGAGAAAAATACAGCTTTTAGGGGTGGAAGGGGCATGTTGCAAGGGCTGTACCCAAAATGCATAGGCAGGCAGGACGCTCACCGGGGACAGGTGTCAGGAAACATCAAGTCTGGGATGAACGGTTCCCACGAGAAGCCAGAAGAAATATTGCATATGAGTGAGTAGGCCGGCCACTGCGAGGAGGTCCACCCGCCAGGCCACACCTCGTTGCATACGTGGACGGGGAGGGGGATGGCAGAGGCCCCAGCCCCAGGAGGGAGGGGAGCACTGGTCAGGGTCAGGATGCGCCTTCTCGCGTGCAGTCCAGCCAGCACAGCTTTCCCAAGCCAAGGGGCCCTGGGAGTGTATTCTGTCCGGTTCTGCTGAATGACTGAGGCCCAAAGAGGCTGGGCCACTTTCCTAAGGTCACACAGTTGAGGCTGGGAGTGGCCATGTCTCTGCTGCACCCCACCCCCACCCCAAGCTGAAGATTCTTGGCTTTTGCTTGGTGCCCCTGAGCTCCAGCCAGGGCATGAAGGGCTCTCCAGAGAGGGTGCAGAGGAGCAGGGTACAGGGAGGGGAAGGGAAGAGAAGGGGAGGCAGGCCCTTAGGGAGAGTGTGGGCAGGGGGCCCATACCTGCTCAGAGACTGCTCACCCCATGATTGCCCAGAGGGGCATGTCAGACTCAGAGGGGCCACGCAGCCACTGAGCAGCCACTGAGGGGGAAAAGAACAGGCCTCTTGACTCCTGATCTGGTTCGTTGAGTGGAAGAATGTTTTTTGGGCCTCCAGGGGACAGAGGTGGAGGAGAGTGCAGGTGGGAGTGGGTGCCCCATTTTCCTGAGCCCCCCCCCCCTTAAGAACTGGGTGGGAGCAAAGCAAAACCCCAGACTGACTGCATCCTGCCTGCCCGCCTCCATTCCAGGGGCCATACCCCAGACCACCAGGTGGAGGCCCCATGCCCTTCTCAAAACCAAAAGTGTTTCTGGTCTGTGGAAAACGAGGAAAACGATTTTAAGAGATGCTGGTGCTTCCAGATTTCAAGTGGGAAGACACTTCCTGGAACGGCCACTCTGGACACTGGCACCATTGGGAGGGAGAGAGGATGGCCCTTCTCGCCAGCCTCTCTCCTGTCTCCCTCTGTGCTTGTCCCTCCTTCCCCCGAGTCACACACTGGGAGTAGTGCGTCAGCTTACAGGTCGTGTCTTCCACGGCTTCCCATCTTCACTGCATGCCAGGTGAGTGGAGCCCAATTTTTGTCCCCAAATGACTCTCTCCACAAGGAGGAACCTGGGCTCAGAGGGGTGTATGCAAATGGGTCGGCTAATGCAGGTGCCGCAAAAGCAGCAGGAGGGGCTGCGGGCCCAAAGCCAGACACTGATGTCCAGTGGGTCCAGAACTGTCGTCTCAAATCTCAGAAGTTTCGGACCAGAGACGCCAAGATGAAACAATCGCTGACTTCACATCAAAGGGCTGGCACTTCCTGGATTCCAGATCCCCAGCTCAGAACCATCTAAGTGGGGACACTCGGAATCAGAGAATCTTGGAACCAGCAAGCCCCAAGCACCAGGATTCTGAAGGAGTTGGGCTCCTACCCCAAGCAGCATCCTTCCTGGCGATCAGCTCTCCAGCGGAAGTGACACCCAGGCTCACCCTGAATGCTCCCCCATCGGGAAACTAACCCTCTGGGCACGTGTGGATGCATCACTGGGATGCCTCACATCTCAAGTCAACAGCCTCACTTGGGCATCCAGCTCCCGCTTGCTCACCTCCTGTGACAGGAAGCTCACTCCTCCGTGGCAGCTCATTCCAGCTCCATAAGTGCTCCGTACCCTGAGCTAGGCTTTCCCCACACCAGACACCCTCCTGAGGAAGCTCAGTAGGAACTTGGGGCCACCTCCAGACCCTGCTTCTGAGCAGCCTGTCTGTTAGGCTGGGCACCTCTGGGCATCTTGGAGACCCAACGTGGAGAAAGACCTAGATGCCACTTCAGTTGAGGCAGGGACCTCACTGCCTGGCACCCCAGTTCCACAGAACTGGAGAACAGAGACAAGGTCCTGTCCATGGCTCAAAGCCTGCCAGATGGACAGGTAGGCGCGTGGGTGGCCACTTCTCCAGCCCAGCTATAGGGCTGGGAGCCAGGATCTGCCCAGTGGCCCCTTGGTGGATTACACCGACTTCAGAGCATCCGCGGGCTGCTGGGGCCTGGTGCCCGTGGGGTCCGGCTGCTCTGTGCCAGTGGGTTGCGGCTGATGACCAGCTCCAGCATGTTGCCCGCCTCAGCCAGGAGCGGCACCACCAGGCAGCAGTCGAAGTCCCGCGTGCGAATGTGGTTGACCTGCATGGTGCACAGCCAAGGGCACGGACTGGCATCAGCCCAGCCTGGGCTGAAGGGATAGGAATCGTGGGATTCTCTACATGTGGGCCCTGTCCCAGCCTAAACACACGGTAAATCTAGAACACTCACACAGAGGAAGTCATTCTTCATTGAACTCTTTCAACCCTTCTGGTGGGTTTAATCAAAGAGAAAGTCCTAGGGAGGTGCCAGGGACCCTTCACCCCCCGCACCCCCACACCTGCTTCTCTCCCCTTTGATCATGAAAGCACACACCCCGCCTCCTGCCTACAATTCTGTGACCTTCTGTTTAATTTGTAGTTTACATTGGCCCTCTATTTCAATCAAATATTGCCGGGTTTTTGCTCCTAATTGAGTAGAAAAGTTTCCTTTTAAAAGAAATTTAACTTGAAAAAAACACTTCATCAATTTAGAGAACACATATATTCATTAAATTCAGCACAAATGTGGTAGAAATCACGCCAAAGAAACGAAAGTCGCTGGGGCATGGGAAAGGCAGCCCAGGTGGCTGGGCCCAGATGGCCATAACTTCCCATCTGCTCCCCTACATTTCCCAGCCTCCCTTGCAGTTGGCGAGGTCACATGACTAATTCTGGCCAATAGACCATGAAGGGGAGTGACAACTGAAGGCAGAAAGAAACCTATAGGCAATTTTCCAGCCTGGTTTCCTTGTCTGTGGAGTCAGAGGCCGTGATAAGAGGGTGGAGCCTCCATCAGCCCCGGTGGAGGAAGGCTCATGCCAGCCACAGTGTACACATAGTAAAGAATAAATAAGTGTTCATGTGTGTTGAGCCGCTGAGATTCAGGGTTGTTTGTTACTGCAATATAACTGAGCCTAACCTGACTAATACTACTGGTATTGTCATTCCCTTGATGAAGAAGCGGGCGCTCAGAGGGGAGGTGACATGCCTAAGGCCACTCAGCCAGGGTAGAAGTGGGGGGCTCCTTCACCCCTGAGGTACCCCTGCTGCAGTATTACCTGGAGGACCCTGTCGAAGGGCTGGAGGCCCCCACGCTGGGCCGGCCCATCAGGGCGCACAGTGTGGACATAGACACCCTTCTCCAAGAGACCATCTGAGACGCTGAAACCAAAGTCATTCCTCATGGGGTCTTTGTGCAGGGTCACCTGGGGGCAGGAGGAGGGGGAGGTCCCTGGAGTGCTAAGCTTCGTCCCCAGCTTCCCACCCTGCCGGAATCCCGTGGTTTGTGGGCATTCAATTTCTCTGGGACCCAGCCGCCCCCTACCTTGCCCAGCTGCATCCCAGGCTTTACCGCCTATGCCCTTGTAGCTCCCCTCCCTCTGCACCTCAGGGAACCCTCCCCCAGCCCACAGCACTCAATCTCCTCAGAGGCCCTTAGGGAGGGAGTCCCTTTTCGGTCCTCTTGCCTCCACCAGGAGAAGGTCTCAGTGGGGTGCCTGTGAGTTTTTACCCACCCCACCCCCACCCTTAACACTTGCTCATCTCCTGATTTACCAAAGAGCTGGCTCCAGGCCCAGAGGTTTCTGAGGGCTGTTGAGTGAGATTTTTCCTTTGTGTGTGTGTGTTTTTTCTACATAGTAATCTATAGATGGCAAAAAAGCTAGCTTTTTTTTGGTATATATGTATATAAGCAATACATATATACACATACATATACACATATAATATATAGAGAAGCCTTTATATTTTATACATAACACAAACACACACACAATAACTTAACTTGGGAAAAGTGAGTCTACTTAAAGAAAAATCAATAGCCCAGTGTGTATCATAGGGGTGTGTGTGTGTGTGTGTGAGAGAGAGAGAGAGAGAGAGAGTAATAGGAGTTTTGAGAAACCAATACGAAATCCCCATTTTGTGATGGAGGAATGAAGCCCAGAGAGGGGAGGGCCCATCTGGAGCCCACATTGAGTCCTCATGGCATCAGGACACGTGCCCAGGCCGCGTGCACCCCCCGTCACCTGCGCCCACCCCCAGCACCCACCTTGTGCATCTCCAAGGGTGTCGGCAGCAGTAGCTCCTGCACCTCTTCAGGGGAAGAACGTACCTCCCGGCCCCTCTGCCAGGGCCGGTGGCCAGGCCTGCCCTCAAGGGCCATGGTCTGCACGGTGCCCGTCATGATGGATGCCTGTGAGGACACAACCCTTCACTCAGACATTCACTCTGTCAGCATCTTTGGACACTTGCTATGTGCCAGCCTCCAAGGTCACGGTGGTGAGGAGCACAGATGCAGCCCTGCCCTCCTGGGACTCGGGTTTGATCAGTCACACTAGCAATCAGAATCATCATCATTGGCGCTGAATTAGCTCCAACTCTGTGCTGGGCTCAGTTCTAAGCACTTTATACATAGAACTCATTTTATTCTGTATGATATTACGAGACCAGCAAATACTGTTCTTTTTCTCCACTTTACAGATGAGAAAACTGAGGCTTAGAGAGATTAAGATTTGAACTCAGAGTCTGGCTCCAAAGTCGAGGGTCTTAACTTCTCTGTTACCTTGTTCATTGCAAAAACAAATAAGATAAAATTACATGTGACAGTAAGTCACAGAGGCCAGGTACATGGAAGGTGAGGGCCTAGGACAATAAATCCAGCCCAGTGTGAGGGTCAGTGAAGCTTCCTGGGCTGAGATCTGAAAGATGAACAAGAAGGGGTGGAGAGGGGAGGAAGAGAGTCCCTGCAGGCAGATGCAGGGAGGTGAGCACTTGATCCTGCACGCCTTATGGACTACAGTGAGAAATGTTAACTTTATCCCAAAAGCAATGGGGACACTCAAGGATTTATGCAGGGGGTCAGGGGACAGGAGCAGATTTGTGGATTTAGTATCATCTTCCAGCTGCTGGGTAGAGACTGGATGACAGAGGTGGGCATGGAAGCCAAGAGAAAGACCTGCTAGGGATGATGTAGTTGTTCAAGCAAAAGATGACAGGGTCTGGACAGGAAGGCCATAGTGGAGGAGGGCAGAAGGAGCAGAAGTGGGGCATGTGTCCCGTGAGGCGCAGACATGGTCGGGGTGGGGCGAGCAGAGTCTCACATGCTGTGCTCTAAGCTGAGAGCAGCAAGTTCGTGGCCCTGAGAAAAAGTATTCATATTCAGACCAGGAAATCCATAGATGGGTGCAGGGGGCCGCTTTTGGGGTTGATGGGCTGGGAGGATGTACTTCTTACACGAGATATTATACAACCTTCTGGGCACAGAGGTGTCTCCCAGCCTAGAAACTTTCCTCCTGCCCATCATAGCATCTGAGCTTCCACTATCTATGCAAGGTTCTCTCTGACATTGGGGCTGGGAGTTTTGCTCTCAGAGGTCCCCTAAGGGAAGGCAGATTATGACAATTATCTTAGGGCCCAAGGGCAGGGTTGGGGTGGGGACGAAGAGAGGAGAATGGGAGAGGATATTGAACAAAAAGGCACTTTTCTCAACTTTCATAACTGGTCCTCAACTGCCTGGAGAGCCAGGGTCCAAAAAGGAAAGACCAGAGATTCAGAATCTTGGGACAACAGAATCAATACAAATAAAATCAGGGTATATCATAGGCTCTTGGACCCCTAGAATCGTAGAATTCTAGGACTTCCAATTAAGATGCAGACTGAGCCCTGGCCAGTGTGGCTCAGTTGGTTGGAGCGTTGTTCCATGCACCAAAAGGTCGCAGGTTCGATTGTCGGTCAGGGCACATGCCCAGGTTGCGGACTCGATCCCTGTCAGGGTTCATGCCAACTGATCCATGTTTCTCTCTCACATTGATGTTTTTCGCTCTCTTTCTGAAATCAATAAAAACATATTTTTAAAAAGATGCAGACTAAGCTGATACAGAAAGCTCACATCTCCTTCCAAATCTTGCGGTAAATTTAAAAACATTTTAAATAAACACTTTCATAGTAAGAAAGAAAAATTTAGAGACAGGCATGAGCAAGAGTAGAACCACTTGACCTATGGAAACAGGTATGCACGTTAGGAGCTGAGGTACCCATTCAGGGAAAAGCAGAGAGCTGGTGGAGAGCCATCCCCTGTTGAATGGGGACTAGAGATGTCTGCCTGCCAGCACAGGGGTTCAGAGGGGAACCCCCAGGACCGGAGTGGGCTGGGGAAACCATTGGTGAGAAACCAGGAACCTTCACGTGACCACTGTATAAGCATGGGGCCAGAATCTGCCTTCTAGAAAAAGTGTAATGGAAACACTGAGCTGAGAAGTTACTGTGAAAAACTGGTCTGGAACTGATGAAGTTCAAATGGCCCAGCAAAGACCTATGAGGCTCTGCCTCAGAGATGCTCCAACAACACAGAGCATGTGTGGGTGCCTCCAGGAGTAACCACTGCTGAAAGTAAGCACAACGATGAAATACCAAGTCCTCCTGCTCACAACACAACAGACAAATGGATTTGCACCCAAGGAACTAGGGGGGAAAAAGACATCTAAAGAAACTTTAAAATAAGTCTGCTTAAAATGTGCAGAAAAATAAAAAAATGAGATATTAAGAAAAAAAGACTGTGAAGAGTTGGGAAATAATGAGAAATAAAAGAAGTAGAAGATGTAGAAATTGAAATACAGTATTTAGGAAATGGGTTAAATAGACTAAACACAGTGGAGGAGAATATTAGTGAATTGGAAGACAGTATAGGGAAAATGTGAAAGAACAGCATGAATGTAAATGATTGCTCTCAGAGTAGGAAGGAGCTTCAGAAGTGACCCAGTCAGATCTCCCCTAAGTTCTCCTGGGTAGCCTGTTCCATCATGGGCAATGCTGACCTCATGCAAAGCTGCATTCGCCTCTCAACTCCTCTGACTCCTCATCTCCTGTGTTGTAAATGATGTTGACATCCACATGCTTCCACAGGGCATGCCCACAACCATGTCCACATGTGGCACACACACACACACACACACACATAAACACCAAAACGGCCCCTATGCATCCAAATGTGCACACTCAGACGCATGTGATCTGAAAAGACACTCAGCATTTGTGCATGCATGAGTGTGCTCATAGGCATGCATATATACATGGTCCCAGTGCACACATGGTGATCAGCCAGGCATGCTCACATGGGCACACACCCTGATGTGCCAACCACGATGCTCTCAGTCACACTTGCACACATGTCCATGCACAGTCTGCACATGTGTGAAGACACCTTTACAAAGAGGGTGCTGGGTGAGTGCACACATACACATTAAATGTGAGCACAACCCCATCAACATGCTTGCCTCCCATGGGCACACATACCAGTGTGCCCAGATGCAGGTGCCCCCATACAGGCCTGCAGGGCAGGTGGCCCTACCTCCAGTTCCCTCAGCAGCTCTGACTGACCACACGACTCCAGGTCTTCAAGAGCTTCCCCAAACACACGCCAGAAGCCCTCCTTGTGGGCAGGGCCGGGGGCCGGGCTGTAACGTAGGAACCAGAGAGTGTCAACTCCTGGTGGGCGGGTGGGCAGGCTGGGGCCTGAGGAGTCTTCTAAATGGCCATCAGCGTTGGGCTCGAGGGGCCACAGAGTGGGCAGGCGGGCGGGCGGGCATCCTCGTGGCAGTGCTGGGGCCCCGGGGCAGTGGGAGGTAACACGGAATGGAGGGAAGACGCAGTTAGGGGTGACCAAGACTGCCGGTCTTAGAACAGGGCAGATGAGGCGGGGTGGAGAGCAGTGACACAGGACGCCTGGGAAGAGAGACAGACGGAAGGACAGACAGACAAAGAGGAGATCCATGGTGTAGCCCCAGAGGACGGCTTCTGGCCCCTCCCAGACACATGGCATCATAGGACAGTGACAGGGACAGAGCTGGAGCAGCAAGGACACATGGATGGAGAGGAGAGTATTTGAGCTGGGGGAGGGGTTGAGACCACCCCACAACTCCCATCACAGGTTGTATCAAGTCTCATTAGAAAGGTAACAAGTCATATTTTCATATTTCAGAGTTCGCAAAGCCATGTACAAAGTCCTGGCTGTTTGTTGATAAACTGTGCTATGGTTTGCAAAGCGCTTTCTCTCTCCCAATGGCACATGGCTTTCCTCCAGGGAGCCTCAGGGACAGTGATGCAAAATAGTTGCCTCCTTCCCTTCCCATTTTAAAGAGGGGAAGACGGAGGCTGAGGGACATTGTTTCCATTTAAGTCAATTGTACAAACACTTGGGCTGTGGAGGTGAATAAGGTGTGGCCCCTGTTCTCAGGGAGCTGAGGATTCAGTCACAAAGTGTGTATGAGCACCCATTGAGTGCCAGGCACTGAAGAGATGTAGAAGAGCCAAGTAATTAACCAGGCAGACACCAGGTGGCTAGTGCCACCGGGAGGCTCACCCGAGCAGCTGTGAGTACCAGCAGGAGGAACGGCATCTGCCTGAGAAAGTCAAGCATTCCAGAGGCAGGGGAATTTGAGTTGGGTTTTGAAGGATGAGTAGGTGTTGGCTAGGAGAGGAGAGGGAAAGGTATTTTGGGCAGAAGGAACTGCCCAACCAAAAGCACAGACGTGGGAAGGGGTGGCGAGGGCAAGATGAGGAACAGCATTTCTCCACAGGCCCCGCTCTCTGCATGAGCCTCCTCCTTCAGGGGGAGAGGCTGAGACCTTCGAAGCCAACATTACACAACCCACCATATCCACAGTCGAGGGCTGGTGCCTATGACCCAAAGGGCCCTTGCAAGAAGCCTTGAAGCAATCTTCTGGGCTAAGTCAGGAGGGTCTGGGTTCGAGTTCTGCATCTGATGCTGCTCTTCTGAGAACAGGAGACTACCAGACTTGGGAAGGGCAAACCAGGTTGCTTCCCACCGCCCCACCTTTGCCCCTGCTGTGCCCTCCACCCGGCACGTTTTCCCACCGTCTCAGTCCGGCTGAGACAGTCTGCTCGATGTTTCCTCTCCTCTCCCAGGAGGTGCTCCTTCTTGGGGGCCAGACAAGACTCTTCCATGGCCTCTACCACCATGGCACAGGGACCACTACCCTCGCCCATCCTAGTCGAGAGACCATGACTGTCTCCTTCCTCATGGTATTCCTACCACAGACCTAGTTGGTTGCTCCCAATCCTCCTCCTCTTCCTCCTCCTCAGGGAAGCTCTTGTCAGTGGGGGTTGGGGTATAGCTCGTCCTCCGGGGCTCGGTGGGTGGGGGGCTGCTTCTCAGCCGGCTGGGCTGCCACTCCAGGGGGTTCACACCCCGGGCTGTCATCTGTGGAGTGTAGGAACCTGGCAGGTGGAGACAGGGGATGTCTGCATCCTCTCTGTGCTCTTAGCTTGCCCTCCTTCCTGATCCATTTCTGGCTGTGCTGGGTGACCCTGAATAGGTCGTTGCCCTCTCTGGGCCAGCATGACTACCCAGAGTGCCGTAAGGGGCCCCGCCACCCAGGTCCTTACCCCAGAAACCCCTGGATATCCTGATCATCTGGCAGAAGAGTTCATGACTGGGGCTCCAGGCCCCTGTCCCAGCTCCACTGGACTTGGTTTGGCTGCTCCCCTGCCTGAGAGGCAGGTTCAATATTTTGACCATCCTTTTCTCCCTGCTTTTGAGAGATATGAAGGTCCTGCCTGGGGCTGGGCTGAGAAATGCTGACCAAGTGCTCAAGATGGGAAAGCTGAGACCCGGAGAGTAAGGACCAGGGCTGAGAGACCCCAGAGGTCACCTGGAGGTCTCACGTCACTAGTTCCCTGCACTGGGCCTTGGGGAGTCCTGTGGCTCTGGCTCACAGTCATCAGAAGGCCAGCCACCAGACTCAAAGGCCCTCTGCCCCTCTAAGGCTACCCATGGGTCTCAACATGCATGGACAGGGGAATTTGGGTCCTAGGAGGGCACCCTGGAGGTTCCCACCCCTGGAGAATGGGGTGGGAGGGGTTCTCTGCCTTTTCATCTTCAATTGGATGCAATGAGCACCGGCCGAGCACCTGCCGCGTGCTGGGCACAGGCTGGCATGAGACAGGTGCGGAAGTGAGACGAGTGTGGCCTCTGACCTCATAGCGGGCGCCATGCACACCAACCAACAGATGTGTGGAGGCCTGTGGTCCAGGCTCTGAGGGGCCAGAGACCCGAGAAAGGCTGATGGGGTCCAATCAGATCTGCCTTCAGGGCAAGTGTCCCTGGAGGATGGCGCTAGGAGAGAACCAGGCAGAGGGCAAAGCCCTGCAAAGGCCTGGCAGTTGGGGAAACCCAGAGAGAGCATGTTGCCTGTCTAAGAGCTCTGAGGTGCTACCTGGGCCCCCAAAGCCACTCTCTGTGGCCGAGCTGTCCCAGGACTCCATGGCGCTGTCCACACTGGGCACGGCGGGCAAGAACCGGGCTGTCAGCTGTCCTCCTTTGAGCGCCTCTGCTGGGTCCTCATCCGCGTCGCTGGGCTCACTGAAGCTGCCTGACTTGTGGGGTGGGAGTGGGCCTAGGAGGAAAATGGGGTATCACTGCCAATGGCCTCTGACCTTGGAGATACAGAGATGCTCAGCGAGCCTCAGTTTCCCCCATTTGAGTCTGCTATAGGAATTCACAGGAGCTGAGCCCCCGAGCCTGCTTCTGGGTAGTCTGACATGAGGGAGATGCCACACTAATAGAAAAACCCATTTCACAGACGGGAACACTAAGGCTCGTGGAAGCTGAACAACATATCCAAGGTCACGTGGTAAACCAGAGTGGAGCCCAGATTAGAAGGAAGACCACTGCGCATGGTGACCTCCCTGCCAAGACACGAGGGGCAAATTCAGGGGGGGCTGAGGAATGCACAAGTCATGACCACAAGGCCAGGCAAGACAGCCTTAAGAGGCAGAAAGTGATGAAGAACAGGGTTCAGACCCACACTCTGCCCCACACCAGCTGTGTGACCATGGGCCCATCACTCTCCTCTCTGAGTCTTGTCCCTTCAGCTGTCTCAGGTATCCTCCCACCTCCGGAGGGGTTAGCGAGGGTTCTGTGAGATGGGTCACAGAGCCTGGCACAGAGGCACAGACAGACCTCCCTTCCTAAATGGGCTGAATGGCCCCAGGGTGTAAGGTGAGGCTCACGGTCTAGCTGCTTCTTGATCTTCAGTGTGACGGTCTCGCCAGCCACCTGCAGGAGGTGGATGGCCTCACTCAGTGGCCGGCCCTTGAGGCTAACGCTGTTGATGGCCAAGATACGGTCCCCAACGTGGATAGCGCCAGTCCTGGAGGGAAGGCACAGGGCAGAGGATGGGACTTAGACACTCGGGGTTTCAGAGCGGGGCTCTGGCCTCGGGAAACCAGGAACGCCAAGGCACAAGCCGGGCTGACCTCAGTTAAACCTAGCTGCAAAAAATAAGCAAGTGTGAATCTGAGTTGCATTTATAGAAGTATAAAGTCTAGAGTCTGGGAGGGGTCATCCTGCCTAACTCTAAAGTTAGGTTCAGGAACCAGTGTCAAGCATGAGTTTCCAGCATGGTTTGAATCCCACAAACTAGCCGCCAAATTCTAGGCACGTGGTCTTGGGCTAGTTTGTTAACTTCCTCCAGTTCCTTCACTATAAAATAGGGGTGAAAATACTTATTTCAGCAAATTATTATTGAAGGATGAATGAATAGAATGGGTTCATGTTTCCATCCAGCAAAAATGCATGGGTAGCTGTTCCCTCTCCCTGGGCCTCAGTTTCCCCACCTAAAGAATGAGCATAATCTAGGGCCCAGCAGTTTTCTACCTAGATACTATTAGAATGACCTGAGGAACTTTTTTAAAAACGCAGGTTCCTGGCCCCACCCCTGAACAATGAAATCTATGGCTCTGGGGCTCGGGAAGGTGATTCTGAGGAGCAGCCAGGACTGAGGGTGGGGAAGGAAGTTGCAGCATCTGCTGAGAATGCACTTGCCCCAGGTGGGGGAGAAAGAGGCAGAGGATTGGGGTAGGGGAGTCTTGAACCCCAAATCTAGATGTTGCCCTCCAGGTGGGAGCTCACAGAGGGTCCAGCCCCGAGTGCCCTTATCTCCAGCTCTGCCCGGCAAGCTCCCCTGGGGCCTGGGGGAGTGAGTGAGTCAGGGAGGGAGTCAGCGGGAGGGAGACACCGGCCACATGTGGCTACTTGGTCCCTGAAATGTGCTGGCCGGAACCGAGATGTGCTGGAAGTGTAAAATACACACCAGATTCTGAAGATGTGGTATGAAAAAAAGAATATAAAATATTTTGTTAATAATTTTTATGTTGATACATGTTGGAATATTTAAGATGCATTTTATTTGTCTTACTTTTCTAATGTGGCTACTAGAAAGTTTATAAATAAATTGGTGGCATTATATTATACTATGTTGCAGGTGGACTACCAAGCAAGATGAGAACAGGGAGGAATTGTGTGTTGTGTCACCGGGTGCCCAGAATAGGCTGGCACACAGTAGGTACCCAGCAAATGTGGGAGTGAAGACATTGGAGGTCAGAAAGGTCCACACTGGCCTCTGCCATCTGCTGGATGTCCAGCAGGGGGCGCTCAAGGGCCAGGGATGCCAACAGGGAGCTGTCCTGCGGAGCCTCAGCCCCAGGATCCCTCCCATCCTTCTGCAGCACCCTCCTGCACTGTGTCCCTCCCGCACTGTGTCCTCCTCCCGGGACCTATCCTGCCGCTCCAGCCTGGTCAAGCTCCCCCTTCACAGCCAGCTCCTTTCAGTGCTGGGAGCTCACTGCACAGCTGAGGGGAGAATGCTCCTTCTCACCCACACTGGGGTGGCCTCTCTACAAATCCTGCGAGACCCCTTCTACTTCTGGGCCCCAGAACTACCTGCTCCCTCAACCAACTGAAGAACTTGGGACACCCTCCTCTTCTCACAGCTCCCCCAGCTGCCACCGTTTTGGGGACACTTTCCAGAGGAGAGGACAGCAGGGGACAGGCCCCCAAGGTGCCAGGAAAAGTCCCAGGTTGTGCCGGGATCCAGGTGCTGGGAGCCAGGAACCGGACATGGCCCCTGGACTGTGAAGGCACACAGGTGCTCCAAATGGGCTCAGGGTGCTGATTTTCCAGGAAGGGTGGCCTCCCCAGGCAGTGAGGGGGAAGAGGGGTTCGCATACATTTATCCAGCCTGATCTGGAGCTGGGAGGTCTCAGGGCTCCAACCCGCCTCTGCGGAAATGAGGCTCAGAGAGGAAAGGGACAGGCCCAGCGTCCCCCAGAGCACAGATGTTGGAACAAAGGTCAGAATCCAGTTTGGCTAATCCCAAAGCACAGCTTCTGCTCCAGGAGGGTCCCTGGCCCACCGTGTGTGTCCCTACAGAGCCCTGGCTCACCTCTCAGCCAGACCACGCTTGGTGAGGCCTGAGATGACAATGGGATCAAAAGGCTCCTCCGTGCCCGAGATGGTGATGCCCAGGGGGCCCCCGTAGCGTTTCAGCTCCACTGTATAGCTGATGGCACCTGTCGTCTCCTGCTCATCTGCAAGGGGGACACCCATCAGGGGTGGGGTCCGGGAGGTCAGGGTCCAGGAGCTGGGCACTTACTCACTCATACTCATCCATTCACTAATTTACACATCCACTCATACTGTGACTTCAGATGGCTCCATCCGAGGACCCTGAGGCGACCTTCTGCCTCCAAAATGTTTTCTTCCACCCAAGTACCATTTAGAAAAAGAAAGAAAAGAACCATGGAGCGAACATTTTAAAATGAAGATTTCACACACCACACAAAATAACAACAATGATGGTGATAATACTAATCATGATAAAAAGAAACCATATTTCCAACTTTTCTTTTAAAAAATAAATCCGCCCACAAGGGAACCTCTTTCCCAGGGTAGGAGTTCCCTCTGAATAAAGGACGTGCCCTTCAGCGGCCCAAGTCCTCACCCCTCCCTTTTGCCTCCCAACTTGTATCATTTTTCTTACCTTCTTTCAATTCACTCACTTATGTCATCTGTCTGCCTCAGATGTGTCCGAGTTTGCAGCATTTGCTTATTCACTCACATACCCACCCACGTAGTGCTGCGTTCGTTCATGCCCCACCCACTCATCTGCTCACAGCTGCTCCCTGCCAGTCTCCTCTGCTAGGCTTTCTGCAGGGCATGGGGGATCCAGGCGGTGACTCAGACTCCCCACGGACCTCATAAGAGTCCCAGATCCCAGGGACAGGGAGAAGTCTGTGGTGCTGCCCCTCCCTGCATCTGTCCATTCAAAGGAATCTCCACCAGCCAGCCCTCAGGTGGCACCGACCATGATCCCTCCGGGGCCAGAGGGAACACCGAATTGCAAGCTGGGAACCTGCTGGTCCAGGGGACCTCGACCAGCAGGGCAGGGTGGGGCCGTACCAGAGTTGTCCTCGTCCTTTCGGATCTTCAGCTTCACCAGGTCCTCACACTGCCGCAGGATCTGCACGGCATCCTCCATGGCACAGTTGTCAAGGCGGATATTGTCGATGGCCAGCAGCTTGTCGCCTGGCTCGAGGGTACCAGTCCTGCATAATAAGCAGGGGTGGCGGACAGGATGGAGCCTGGCACATGCCAGTGCCCTACCCACCCCCACTGCCTACTCACCGGACCCGGGCCCAGCGCACCCCTACCTGTGTGCCACACTGCCTTTCTTGATGTCAGAGATGGTCAGGGGTTCCCCTCGCTTCCTGCTGGCCGCTGGAGGAAGAGAGGCCGTGACGCTGACCTTTGATGGTTTCAGCCTCGGGCAGGGGGTACCCAAGACTGGAGCATGGACTTGGAGCCACAAGCCCTGCTCCCACTGCTGCCTGGTTGGGTGGCTATGAGCAAATTAGTTCACCGCTCTGTGCTTCAGTTTCCCCTCTGCAAAACCGGGATGATGCCACAGACCTCATAGGGGTGTCGTGAGATTAAACTAGATAATGCAGGCTCCTGGCACATAGTAGAAGCTCAATCCACATCAGCCATTTTTTTCTCTTGCCCATCTCTCAGCAATCTGAGCTCCCTGAGGGTCTATCTGGCTGATGTCTGTGTCCCCAGCACCTGGCACAGGGCTGGGACCCAGAACTAGGTGATTCTTCCACAGCGGGGTTCTTTCTTCCCTCGGGCTGCAGGGAGTGTTGGCTGCTGACAGCTCACAGCAGGATCCCACTCTGAGAACCACCTTTGGCAGAGGGAGCAGCCTCACCCAAGGCAATAGCCTCCTGGTGCAGACTATATCCAATCACTGGTCCACGAGGTGATGCAAAGGCCTGGCTCCCAGCCTCAGCTCAGGACAATCTCCAAGGCCTCCCAGCTGAGAGCTCTCCAACGGGCTCGGCCGAGCCTCTGTGGCTACTGCATTGCAGCTCAACTTCTCCCTGTGCCCAGTCCTGTGTCCCTCACTGCTCACACGGGCTGACCCTAAGAGGCCTCCTTAGTAAACCCCCTGCACGGTAACTCCTCGTCTAAGCTGTTTCCTGGGGGATGTGACCTAAGGCAATGTGTGTTGCATGAGTGGCTAAGTTTTCTTGAAAAAAATCCATTTGTGCTAATGGGTTTTCCCATTAGTGACCAGGTGGTAGGATTGCCTCCTAGCTCGAATGGCATCTTTGCAGATGAGACAAAGGTGCCCCTTCCAACAAGTCTGTTGAGAAAATGTAAGAAAATTCTAAGTCTACCTTGAATGGGCTCCCTGGTGTCACTACAACCTGTGCAACTGCACCCAGCGGCCCTGCCCAGAGGTTCCTGGGCTGGAAGCGCCTTGTCCCTCTGGACAGTTGCCCCCCATCAAGCCCTGGGGAGAGCTGAGGTTTATTCCACATGGGGACTGCAGTGCGGGTCATCTGTTCCCAGGCAGTCCTTGGGGAGTGGTGCCCACATCCCTGGCCTGACCTGTAGTCCATCCACCAGTGTGTGTGCTGCCCTGGCCAGAGTGGGCACCTGCCAGGAGGCCACCTCAGCAGAGCAGTGATGCTGTGGCCATGTGGGTGGGGCCTCCACTCCCCTCATCCCAACTTCTTTCCCCTCAGGATCCCCAGGACTGAGCCAGGCTCCTGACTCTCAGGCCTTAGTCAGCCTCATTTTCTCTCCTCGTCAATTCATCCTATAATCATTCAGTCATTCATTCAACAAACATTTACTGAGTCCCTACTATGTGCCAGGAAGGAAAATAGCAGTGGACAGAACGGACAAAGCTCCCTGCTCTCCCGGAGCTACCCATCTGGTGGGGGTCATAGATCATCAACAAAATGTGAAAGTAGTGTCAGGTGATAAAGCGTGCTGTGGAGAAAAACAAAGGACAGGGACTGTGCAGAGGGTGACGCAATTTCAAATCAGCGGTGGGGAGGCCGTGCCAAGGGGACGAGTGAGCTAAGACCCGAAGGGGAGGGGAAGAGGCAGAGGGAACAGCCGTGCAGAGGCCCTCGGCCGGAAGGAACATAGCCTGTTCAGGGAACAGCCCAGAGGCCAGCCGTGGCTGGAGGAGTGTGACAGAGGGAGATAGCAGGAGGCAATGTCAGAGGTCATGGAGACCAGGTCACAAGGGGTGTCAGGGACCCTGAGGACTTCACCCCACCGGGAGACCCCAAGGGCCTACAGAACAGGAAACCACGGCTTTGAGAAGCAAGCTCCAGTTTGCCCGAGGACAGAGCTGGGCACTACAGGGCCTTTCCCCGGGGCCAGGAGGTATATTCTTTCTCCCAGGGACAGTACGGAGGGGACAGCATGGCGGGGAGGGGACTCACAGCTGATGGTGATGCCCAGTTCCACACCGCGCCTCTTAGGCAGCTTCACGTGGAAGGTGCCGCTACTCGGGATGACAGACTCTGGGTACAAACAGACGTGGACCCATGTGAGACCAAGCCCCACCTCCATTCCGGTCCACCTGGCAGGGACCCCAAAAGTCCCTGTCTCAACCCCATCCTGCTTCTTACACCTGTCAGATCAGCAAACGGAGGCACGGTGAGCTGACAGATTGGTCCAAGGCAACCAATCCACCTGGTCAGAGCGGCATCCGGGCTGGAACCCAGACCTCATGACAGCTGGCCGGGGGTCACAGCCGAACCCAACTCAGTTTGGATCCAGTGCTAATTTCCTGAGCACCGATTGCGTGTCAGGCCTTAGCTGGGTGTTTTCCTGTGATTTATCTCAACTAACACAGGCAACATCCCCTGTAGTGAAAGGATTCTATTCACTGTCTTACAGTTGAGAAAACTGTCCTGTCCGAGGTCACAGATTGTCTAAATCACAGGACCAGAATTCTAAACCAGAGCTGAGGAAACGGTGTCCTGTCCGAGGTCACAGATTGTCTAAATCACAGGACCAGAATTCTAAACCAGAGCTGAGGAAACGGTGTCCTGTCCGAGGTCACAGATTGTCTAAATCACAGGACCAGAATTCTAAACCAGAGCTGAGGAAACGGTGTCCTGTCCGAGGTTGCAGATTGTCCAAACCACAGGACCAGAATTCTAATCCGAGCTCCGGTGCTAAATCCCTCAGCAGCCCTGAAACGGGTGCGTGTGATTCCTTCCTCCCGGCCAGCGCCTTCCTCCCCACGTTAGTGCTCAGGCGTGCTCCTCGCTCCAGGCAAGAGCAGAACAGAGAGGAGGGAGTGCAAGGTTCCAAGGCGTGAGGAGGAGCGAGGGGCACTCACTCACCGGCCACGTCGAACTCGATCTCCAGCACGACCTTGTGAGCCAGCGCAGCATCCCGCAGCAGCTGGTTGGCCTCCTCCATTGTTCCATCCTCAGTGGCAATGCCGTTGATGGACAGAACACGGTCCCCCACCTGCAGCAGCCCACACCTGAACCCCAGGCAGCCCAGCAGAGAAAAGAAGCTCCATCACTGTCGCAACTCCATTGGGAGACAGTAACTCGGAGCAGGGTGTGACTTTCAGCCCTGCCCAGTACAGCTAGAGATCCTCAGGCAATTTACCATGTGACTGCAGCTAAGGGTGTCACTCCGCTGGGCCTCAGTGTCTCTGTCTGTCCAATGGGAAGGATGTCATGCCTTACATGATATATGTATAGAGGACTCTGACCTCAGACAGATAGGGGTTCAAGTCCTGGGGTTACTCATGAACTGTGTGACCCTGGGCAAGTGAATCAGCTTCTCTGAGCCTCGGTTTCCTTTCCTATAAATGGGGCTGGTGACGGAGTTGCTGCGATGGTTACGTGAGAGAACTTGTGAGACCAGGCTCGGTGTGTGACTCAGTTTTCCTGGCTGTCTGTGAGCTCCCATTGAAGAGGGGCTGGCCCAGTGGGGAGGGGGCAGCAGGCTCACCTCTCTGCCGGGCTGTCAGGCTCGATGAAGCGCACAAGGGGCGGGGAGGACAAGGTCTCAGTGGCGAAGATGCCGCCCTGGAGCTGGAGGCCGAAGCCGCTGAGGGGATCACCGCAGAGCACAACCTCCGTGGTCTCCATGTGCACGATCTGCCCACCTGGCCCCACTGTGCTGGAGGCCAGCGACACTGTGGGGCGGGGGGCATGGCACTCAGGGGGGCCGACCCAGCCAGGACTTCCTGTGGGAGCCAACCCACCCCCAGGACCAAGAACCTGGAGTCAGAGGGGCAAGGGATTGGGAGTTCTGACTCGCGCTGGTGCCAGCCAAGTCATGGCCCATTCTGAGCCTCAGTTTCCTCATCTGTACAATGGAGTCGTGATTCCCACTTGGCAGGGCTATGGCAAGGATTAAGGGACACAGCTCCTGGGATTGTCATGTTGGAAGACAGCGGTTCTGAGGGTCAGTGATATTGTTATGTCATATACTATGTAAGGTAAGCTATATTATAATGCTATTATATATTATAGTATGTATGTTATTTTTGGTAACAGCTTTTTTTGAGATACAGTTCACCTACCATAGTATTCACTGATTTGAAGTGTACAATTCAGTGCTTTTTAGTATGTTCACCAAGTTGTGCACCATCACCACAGTCAGATTCAGAACATTTTCATCACCTCGAAAAGAAACCCCATTCCTTTCAGCTATCACCCCAACCCTCCTTTCTCTCCCAGCCCTAAGCAACCGCCAGTCTATTTTCTTCTCTATACTTTTATCTGTTCTGGACATTTCATATCAACGGGATCATACAATACATGATCTTTCGTGTCCGGCTTCTTTCGCCTAACATGTTCCCGAGGTTCATCCACCCTGTAGCATGTATCAAAATTTTACTCCTTTTTAAGGCTGAATATCTCTTTGCATGAATACACCACATTGGTTTAGCCATTCACTTGTTAATGGACCTGTGGGGTGTTTCCACCTTTTGGCTAGAGTGACTAATTCTGCTCTGAATATTCATGCATAAGTTTTTGGGTGAACATGACATATGCCTTCACTTCTCTTGGGCAAATGCCTAGCTATAGAATTGCTGGGTCACAGGATAACTTTATATATAACTATTTGATATATTACTTAATTGTATATTTCATATATAAAATACAATTTTATTATTAATACAAATATTGGAAAGGAATTAAGTAGTACAAATTGGCAGTCACAAAATGGGGATGTAAAGTACAGGATGGGGCAGGGTACATAGTCAATAATACTGTAATAGCTATGTCTGAGGGATACTAGATTTATTGGGGGGATCACTTTGTAAGTTATACAAATGTCTAACCACCATGTTGTATACCTGAAACTAATATAATATTGAATGTCAACTGTAATTGAAAACTTTTTAAAAATTTTAAATATGGATACTAAATATAATGTATTAAATACAATTTAATTTTATACTTCATTATATTACTAATTATACTATAGTGTTATGTCCTTATGCACCATTTTGTTATAGTTCATATTACACATTATAATATGTGTGATATATTATATTGTTTGGGTATATTGTGCTATTATATTTATATTTATTATTATTATTTTACTATTACATCTTTAATGATAAGAATGGTGCCTGGTACATACACAGGTGTTCAAAAATGTCATTTAACTAAGTAATTAATGATCATCAGTAATAACAAGGATAACTTTATTAGTCACCCAATCTAGGAAGGGATAGGTAAGGGGTCCCAAAAGCCCCAGCTTCCACATTCTCCTGCCTGTAAACATCATTTCTCAGCTTTTCACCCACACTCCCCTAGCTTTGCTGGTTGACAAAGGCGGTTGGTAAGGGTGTGTTTTATTTCTCAGTTGACTTTGAAATGTTTCCTTTTTCACCTTGGCTGCCGGAAAGCTCATAACCATATTTAGCTCTTTTCAGGTGCCAGGTGGCTTGTATTCCTCTTTGCCCTCACCTAGTTCAATTCCAAACGGCCCAGGTGGACCCTCCAGCCCTCCTGGAGGCCTCTGCAGCTCACATGGCAGGTGGCTGGGTACACTTGCTACTTCAACAAAGGAACGACTCTTCCCAGGAAAGATTTAAAAATTCTGGGCATTCTTGTTAATTTTGCTATTTCCACATGGCTCCCACATTGTCATTCACTGCTATTTGTCTTTACATTTATTCACTCCTTAAAATATTTAAATGCCTTCATAAACAAAGAGAAAAGTCTATAATCAAAAGGTAAGTAGAAATATATATATATATAGTAAACATAAAAAAATATTACACTGTGGGTGGCTAGTCTCAGGCCTGTATGTCTTTGTCTTAGGGGGAGTTTTTTAAACATCGAGAGGTGATAAAGACAGTCACACCACACTCTGGAATGGATCGGAAAGGACTGAATGAAAGAAATATGAAATGGAGTTACTCTGAGACCTTCGTGCGAGTCGGAAAAGGCATCCTGTCCTCAAAACACTTTGCCACCACCTGCTAGGAATTTCCTATCATAAAAACACAAGTCTAAAATGTACAAAGTAACTGGCAGCTGTCAGATGCGTCCTTGTGCAGTACACAATCTGCCCAGCCATCCATGGTAGCCTGGTTGGACCACTCATGCTATTTAAAGACGCCCCTCACACACACCCCAGGGGACCTGCCAAAAATACCTCCACCTTTTGGCAAATCTCTCTCAAGCATACAGGCAGCCCAGAGGGGAGGGAAGAGACCATGGCTTACACGAACTCTTGTGTTCCCGTCTTCGCTGCCTCCTTCGCCCCATTGTGGTCCGGGGGCTCATGGGCTGGGATCCACGGGGAAGGGTGCTGGGGTTGGTGCAGGGAAAGGTGTGGTTCATGATTGGCGAGGAAAATGGAGTCGAGGATAAGGCTGGGGAGATGAAAGCACAGCCCCGTGAACCCCAGCAGGGCTCTTGACCTCACTGCACAGTGGGTACCAGGAAGCCACCCAATCACAGGGAGACACAGGGATGTCTTCCCCCATTCTCCTAACCACTCGCTATGTGACCTCAGGCAAGTCTCTGCCCCCTGGTGAAACCTAGCTGCCAGGACGGGGACCCACCTCATCACTAATGATGCTGGGCAAGCCCCCAATTTCTCTGAGTCTAGGTTTCCTCCCCTGTGAAACATGCACAAGCCACAGTGGGGTGGGTACATTACATCGGCTCTGGTCTTGGCCAGCAGGTGTAGCCCAGGCAGGTGTCCTATAGTGGCCTGGCCGGGGGCTGTGGCAGGAGGGCGCACAGGGGTCCCAGCGATGTGGTTGCTCACTTCTCTGCACCTTCACTGTGGCCAGAGGAGGGAAAGAAGAGAGGGGGCAGGCGTAAGGGGCTGACCGAGTCTGAACTCACCAAGCCTTCCCACCCAAGGCTGCGCTCCCATCTGCAGAGGAAGTGAGGGCAGAAGGGCCAGAAGATCCCGAGTTTCCCCGAAGCCAAGGGAGGCGGTCAGGGCTCTGCTCAGGTGTCCCAGATGCTCATGATCGCAGGGCACTATGCTCAGGGCTCAGCCATGGCAGCAGGGACGGGGAGGAAGAGCAGGCCCAGCCAAGGCCCATCAAGGGAGGCGGTGGAAGAAGATTTGAAACAGGCCGGCTGGCTCTGGAGCCCAGAACTGGTCCATCAGCTTCGAGGAGTGCAGCTGGCAGCTGGCATCTGGCCGCAGCGCCTTTGGAACCTGCTGCAGGCCTGTAGCTTGTGCCGCCTCAGCCAGAAGGCTCCCAGGGCCTGGCCGTTTATGCTCCATGCTGGGCTCTGAGGGCAACCCATGTGCCAGGGCTCCTGTGGAGTTGGTGAGTTTTGCTCAGACCTGCATCACCCTCTTCCACCTTTCACGGGCCTTTCGCTCAGTGAACTTTTACATTCCAACTCCATCTAAGCATCTGCTTCCCAGAGGACCCGAGAGATTCCGCCTCCCCACCTGCCCCACCTGATCATCCAAACTGGCTGCCATGTAACTTCCTCCCACACTGCCCCAGGCCCTGTCCTGCTCCTCTTCTGCTGCAGGGCTCTGAGGGGTCCAGCCCGGTACAACATGTCCTCGGAAGGAGGAGTGAGGACCCAACTACCTCAGCCCATTGATTCTGCCTCCCTGAGCGGCAACCCCACCCTCACCTGGGGCAGGGCCGGCTCTGGAGCCAGCTGCCAGGTCACCTGGACAAGTCACTTAGCCCCTCTGGGCCTCTGTACAGTGGGACTAAGAGAGTAGCCACCTCCTAGGATAGTGGGGAAGATAAGAATGAGTTAATATACATGATGTGCCCTGAGATCCTGCAAGGGGACCCACCTGCCTCTGAGGGCTTCAGGGGCCGCCGACTTCGGGGTGCAGGCAGGATCTCCAGTTGCACTTTCTCTGACACACTGGCCAAGAGCTTGGTGGCCTCAAGCAGCGAGCAGTGTTCTGTGCTGGTGCCGTCGATGGACAGGATGTGGTCTCCAGCATGCAATGCTCCACTCCTGGCCAGGTAGAGGGGTGAAGGGGGAGACTGGTCTGTCCAGACAGAACTCAGGGTGGCTTCTCCCCCGCCTACCCCTTCACTGTGGCAGTGCCCAGCTGTGCCCAGCTGTGCCTCACCTGTCCACCACGCTGGCGGGCTTGACTCGGTCAATGGTAATGACCGGCTTGTTCCGGTGGGAGCCGGTGGTGAGTGAGATCCCCAGGGCGGACCCTGGCGTCTTGGTTATTTCCACTATCAAGGGCCCCGAAGCACTGGCCACGGTATCTGGCACAGGGAAGCAAAGAAGAGTTTGAAATGCAAATTTCGAGCACTTTCATCCCTAGTCTTACTCTGTTGTCTCAATTTAATCCTCACTGCCAGTGAGGGATAACTGTACCCATTTTACAGACTAGAAAACTGAGGCGTGAGGAGATAAAGGCTTTCTTTGTCCAAGTTCACATAGTCACTGTGCAGCAAAGGAGGGGCAGGGATTCAGGTCTGAGGGGCTCTGACAGGCAGGACTTTGCTGGACAATACTACTGTGCTCACACTTATTAACAGCCTGCTGCATGCTGGCACTGAATTGTAGTGTCTACTGCAACCCTTCCCCACCTCAACAAATGGCACTCCCACTGACCTGCCCAGTGGCTCAAAAACAAAATCTAGCTCTTTCTGCTCTCGCCCCATCACCGTGTCCAAACGTCAGCAAACTGGGCCAGATGGACCTCCATCACATTTCCTGAATCCGACCCCTACTCTACTCTTCCTCAGCCACCGGGTCCAGCCGCCGTGGCTTTCCTCTCCCTTGATGGCTGCAAATTAGAGGGCACCCCTCAGCCTCTTCCTTCTCTCGCCCTAATTTCTTTACTGCACTGTCATCTGACACACTCTGTATTTGATTTATTCTGTTTACTGTCCATCCCTCCCCACCAGAATGTCAGCTCCACGAGAGCAGAGACCTCGTCTATGCTGTCCCCAGCAGAATCCCCAGTGCTTCAAACAATGCCCCGACATAGTATTTATTGCCCAGATAGGCTCAGAGAGGCTAAGTGTCTGGCCCAAGGGCACACAGCCTTTGCAATGGTGAAGATCTGCTCACCACCTCCTCCCCCCACCCTTGGGCCTCTTCCTGCCTAGCCCTAGCCCTCAGCCCTCCACCCCGCACTCACCTGGAATGGCCACATCATACTCCACCTGGAAGAGGGCCTCTAGGCTACACTGCCGCAGAGTGGCCAGGGCAGCAGCGTGGCTGGCCCCGTGCAGGGGGATCCCATCAACGCTGAGCAGCCTGTCACCCACCTTCAAAGAGCCCTCCCTGCAGGGAAGGGCCCAGTCAGCCAGCCTGGCCTGGCTGGAGTACTGGGCACAGCCCTGCTAAGAGGGCCTTGGGAAAGGTGGGCAGAGAGGACAGAGGAGGGGCAGGGAGTGGGTGAAGGAGAAAGGATGGAACAGATGAGTGAAGGAATGTGTGGCTATGAATGTGCAGCTGACCACATGGGCGCGTGAAGACGAGGTCGGGTCAGCTCCGACATCTCCCACCCCACTTGGTGCTTAAGACATTCAGCCTTAGCACAACCCTAGAATGTCTGAGCTGGGGATGGCCCTTGAGGTCACCACCTCCCTCCAGTCCTGGGGATAGCAGAGAGCGCCATGGTCCAGAGAGGACAGCAACCCTGCCAGGGCCACACGTCAGTGGTGGGGTGATCTGGATGCTTCATGCCGCCCATCATAGAGATTCCCTTCCATTGTCCCCACTCTGGTTTCAGCAATGATTCTGTCCTGGTGACAAATGTGTCTGGGAACCAATTCATCAGGGACCCCAGGGTGGGGCCCGAGCTGGGGTTCATCTCAGTTTGGGTCAAACCCCACCCTGGAATGCCTACCCCAACAGGTGACCAAAGCTATTCTGGGAGGTTCTATGAATAGCTTGTCACAGGGCCCTGTTCCAGGACAGATTTAGATTTCTGACAAGGCCATTCCAAGCTTCTCTTAAAATGGGCAGGAATCTCCCACTGGGGACGCCAGTGGCTGGGAACCGGACACATTCCTTTTCCACATTCTCTCCTCCTGGCGAGTCTGGGCAGCACAGCCAGGACCGGGGCAGCTGAATTACAGAGGGCCAGAGCGATGCCCATCTCTGTCCCCTGAACCTCTTACAGCAACTCTTAGGAGCTAAAATGTCAGACCCATCCCACGAAGGGGGAAACAGGCCAGGGAAGGGACGAGCAATGTGACACCAAGGCTCGCTATCCCGCGGCCCCGAGACAGCAGGATGTGGGGGAAGAGCGAGCTCGGGGTCTCTCTCATTTGGGGTTTAGTCCTGCCTCCACCACCAACTCCCCGAGTGACTATGGGCAAAGGGTGTCCCCTCTCTGGACCTGTTTGCTCCTCTGGGGAATAAGACAATGGCCCCTGCTCTGCCTCCTTCACAAGGAGCTGGGGTTGGTCAGTGCAGTGCGCGGCTGTAAGCTTGCCTCTGGCGCAGGCTCACCTGTCGGCGGGGCCCCCGGGCCGCACATAGGTCAGGACAAGCGGGCGACACTTGTGGCTGTCTTCATGGGCACCTCCTGGACAGAGTTCAACAAGAGGCAAAAAACCGTCTGTCCGTGGCTTCCCCGAAGCCCAGAGGCCCTGACCCAGCCCCTAAGCAGGCTCTCTTAATTAAATCTGTTTGAGGACCATGTCCTTGCTATTTAAAGACCTTTTTATGGGATACCCACTGTAAATCCCACCTCCCGCCAGCCAGAGGTGGGGCAAAACGACCCAAGTCCTGTCCCTGCTGAGTGGCTTGCTTCCCTTCCTCTGATCTCATCCTATTTCCCTTCCTGCCCTGATTGCTAGGCAGCTGCAGACTTTGTTCTCGGTCTCCGCGGCAGCTTCGTCACGTTTGCTCGTACGACTTTCCCTCACACTCCCCGCAGCCATGCACACTTCACTGCTGGGCAGAACTTCCCATTTAACACTTGGCTTAATGGTCCTGTGTTCTTTAAAGTCAGAAGCAAGATATATATGATATATCAGACGTATACACAGGTTCATTAAAGCAAAATGGAACATACACAGAATCAGAATTAGCCACTTCCCTGCTCCCTGCCCGAGGGTGACTGTTACACTGACCTCTGAGGACAAAGCCAAAGCTGTTGCCCTCCTTGTAGAGGGAGACATCCACTGTCTTTGAAATGATCCCTGGGTTGTTCTCGGGGGCTAGAGAAAAACGGAGGGCTCCTTTGAGTCTCTCAGTCATATCACTGAGCTGGCAGATGTCCCCAAAGCTCATTCCAGGAGAGTTGGGTAACTAGTCATAGAGATTACGGAGGGTTAATTCCTCCCCATTTAATGGGTAGGACAAGTGAGGCCTAGAAGGACCCTCTTCCTAATACCCACTTAGTCTATCACCTGGAGAGAGCAAAGGGTCTGCCCACGTTCACACAGAGATGAGCAGAACTCAGGCTTAAATTCATGGCTGGTGGGCTCAGACCAGGGTTGAATTCCAGTTACCCAATTTCAAGACTTTAGACCAACTTTGAAAATTCAGAGCTAGGCCACTGTGCTCAGTGCAGAATGGTAGGGTGGGGAGAGCGTGGGGCAGGGAATAATTTATTCATCCAATGTTCCCCAGACTTGCCAACTTAAAGACAAAAAATCTGCCAACTAAATATGCAAAATGGCTGGGTTATAAACAGGGCCCTGCTACCTCCGGGTGACAGTGTACTGCAGTTGTAGGTAAAGTCCCTAGGCGAGGTGTGGATGTTTGTGGCCAGTCTCCAGGTCCCACCTACCCCATCTGGCATGATCCCCACCACCCAGGCCCTGGTGGAGAGGCAGCTGTGTCCACCCACAACCAAGGCAGTGGAGAAAGTTCCCTGTCCAAGGGCACCCACCGGGCGGGGGCAGCTCATACTCCACCTCCAGCACCACGCGCTCGCCCACATTCTTGAGTAGGGTGATGATCTCATCGTGGCGGAGCCTGGTCAGGTGGATGCCATTCACTGACCGAATGTAGTCGCCCACGTTGAGCAGGTCACTCCTGGGAGCAAGGAGGCCACAGCACATACATGGTGACAGGTGCCAACGTGCATACCCACCCTCTGGATCCTCATTTTACAGATGGGAAATTTAGGCTCAGAGAGGTCGGACAATGTCCAGGTCACTCAGTGAGCGAAGGAGAGCGTGGATTCTAACCTAGACCTGTCTGACACCCAGGATGCTGCCTGCCTGCTTTTTCTCCCACGGGAGCGTCACCCTCAGAGCTGTAACCAGCCCCAGACCAGCCTACAGAGTGGTCAGATCATCACCTCCTTTGCTCCCCCCAACACTCTTCCTGGCTTTTCACCACTAATCTGGTCTGGTCAACTGAACACTCATCAGTGCCTGCCCAGGTTTCATGGAACTCACGGTCCAAGGCAGCCGCAGAGCTAAAGCCATGGACAACCCAGGGCAATGCGTGCAGACGAGGCACAGAGGGCTGTGTGAGCACAGCGGCTGTCCCGGCCTGGGCTTGAGCGGCTTCCCAGAGGCAATGTGGAGGGATGACTAGACTAGCAGGAGGATGTCATGGGGAATGAGACTTCCAGGCAGAGGGAACTGTATAGGCAAAAACCTGGAGGGCCTGGCCAGATGAGGTACTGTGGCCAAGTTAGCCCCTGATGTAAAGAGAAAAGAAGAAGCTGGGGCCTAGAATTATAGCCCCCACTGGAGGGCTTCCTTCTGCAGACACCAAACTCTTGGGTTCTTCTGGAAATAACTGCCTGATTGCTTTATCCAAAGCCCTCGTAAATTTCCACTGGTCCCTAACCCCTCCTGCTGCCCCGACCCAGCCCCACTTCTCACCTGGCCGCAAGCCCCCCTGGTCTCAGGTTGGAGACCCTGGGCTTCCCGTCCTTGTCGGTGCCACCTGAGATGGTCAGGCCCAGCGTGCTGCCTTCTTTCTTGATCAGCTCCACCACGGTGACCCCTCGGAACTCCTCTGCTGACATATAAGGGGTAAGAGGGCAGCATGGGGCAATTTTGGGCCCCCAACTCCAAGACAAGTGAGGCTAACACTTGGTAAGCAGGGCACTTGCATTATGCTAGATGAGATAGTTCCTTTTAACAGAGCAGGATCAGAGAAGTTATGTGGTTGTTCTAAGGTCACAGAACAAGTTGGCATCAGAGCCAATGCTGTCTGACCCCCCCACCCAGAGCTCTCTGTGCCTCCAGGACAGAGAAAGAGGAAGGAGAGGCGATTCATTACCTGGAATGCTCTGTCTCCGGCAAGCCAGGGCCCCGTCGGCTCCTCCTGCGTCCTTGCCTCCTTTGGAGTAAGGCCCATCGTCTGCAAGCAAGACAGAAAAGGCCCCAAGTTCTATTTTCATTTCCATTCAGGCAAACCCTTCTGCTTTGGGAATCTTCCACTTCATGGATGTGACCTGTAAGAGGGGTTCTTTCCTGCCACCAACTCCCCCCATGTCTCTGCTGGGGATCCTTGTGGCTTCTCCCAAGGGAGGCTCCATCTCTGCTCTTGGAGCTGAATAATATTCTTTTGAACACTCACCATAAACTGGAAATTTCACAGCTGTTCTGCGTTTAATGATCTGCACAGCTCTATGGGTGGCATTATTATTAGAGGTAATATTATTCCTGTACCCATAAGAAAGCTGAGGCCCAGAGAGGGACAACGCAATCTGGAGTGAACTTGATTAATGTTTCTCCATCAGGACTGTACTTTACAGTGTGCAAGCCATACTCTCAGACACCCTAGGCAGCCCAAGGTAGCTTCAATTCTAGAAAACGTTCTCCCATTATTTCTTCTGGTATTGTTTCCTTCATCTCTCTCTCTCTTTTTTTTATCCTCACCCGAGGACATTTTTCCATTTTTTGTTCAGATAGAGTGGGAAGGAGAGAGAGAGAGAAACATCGACGTGAAAGGGACACATCAAGTGGCTGCCACCCGCACAACCAACCAGGGCCGGGGACTAACTGCAACCGAGGTATGTGCCCTTAGCGGGAACCGAACCCGGGTCTCTCTGGACCACAGGCCGACACTAACCACTGAGCCAAATCGGCCAGGGCCATCTCTCTCTTTTGAGATGCTTAATAGATGTACTTTGGGATTTCTTACTTTATGCCCCATCACCCACCTATTATAAGTCTTGTCTCTTTTTTTGGAATGTGTCTAATATGCAATGAAATTTATCATTTTGGTTTTTTAAAAACTTATTATGAAAATGTTCATACATTTCAAACATAAGTGAGGTACTAGAATTGCACAACACAGAGGTTCTCAAAGTGTGGTCCCCAGACTAGCAGTACTAGAATCACCTGGGAACTGGTCAGAAATGTAAATTCTTGGACCCGACCTGGGACCTAGTAAATTGTAAACTTTGAGGATGAAGTCTAGCAGCCTGTATGTGTGTGTGTTTTAGTATATTAACCTAACATTTTTCTCCACTTAAAAAAAATTTAAATACATTAAAATTAATTCTTTCTGGTGTGTATTTCTATGGGGTTTGGGAAATGCACCCTGCAATCAAGTTTTAGAACTTCCATTGCCCCCCCCAAATTCTCCCTTGCTCCCTCTTTGTAGCTAGTGCCTCCACCACCCTCAGCCTCAGAAACCCTGATCTGTGTTCCGCCTATAGAATTTTGCCTTCCCTAGAATGTTATATAAATGCAATCACATGGTATGTAGACTTTTGAGTCTAGTTTCTTTCATTTGGTACAATATTTTGAGACCCATCCATGATGTTGAGTGTATCAGCAGTTTGTCTCTTCATTGCTGAGTGATGGTCCATTGCATGCACGCACCGGTTTTTTTCTGTTTGTCTGTTTTTGGTACGTGCCCCTAGCGGGAACCAAACCCGAGACTCTCTGGTCTGCAGGCTGATGCTCCAACCGCTAAGCCAAACTGGCCAGGGCTGCACAGGTTTGTTTAGCCATTCACCTGTTGAAAGACATTTCCCTGGCTTCCAGTTTGGGTGATTTTAAACAAAACTATAAGAAATGTTTGTATATGGGTTTTTGTATAAATATAAGTTTCCATTTCATTTGGGTAAATACCCATGAATGGGGTCCGGGCCACACGGTAAGGGTGAGGTTAATTTTGTAAGAAACTGCCAAGCTATTTTTCAAAGTGGCTGCACTATTTTGCTCGCCCACCAATAATGTGAGGGTTCCAGCTGCTTCACATTCTCATCAGCACTTGGCAATGCCAGTTAGGATTTTATTTTCTTAATTTTAGTCATTTTAATAGATGTGCAGAGATATCTTATTGTGGTTTTAATTCACATTTGCCTAATTACTAATAATGAACACTGTCCCTTATTTGTCATCCATATATCTTCTTTGGTGAAGTTTCTGTGCAAAGCTTTTGCCCATGTTTAATTGGGTTGTTGCCTGGCCGGTATGGCTCAGTGGACTGAGAGTCATCCCATGGACTGCGAGGTCCCGGTTTGATTTACAGTCAGGGCACATGCCTGGGTTGTGGGCTCGATCCCCAGTAAGGGGCGTACAGGAGGCAGCCGATTGATTTAGCTCTCTCACATGGATATTTCTCTCCTTTACTCTCTTCTTAAAAAACAACAACAACAACAACAAAACAATAAAACAAACCATAATTGGATTATTTATTTTCTTATTATTGGATTTTTATGTGTTCGGATACAAAACTTTTATCAGGTGATAATTTGTTTTGAAAAGCCCAGGTGATTTTTTATCACACTGAAGCTTGACAACCACTGGTACAATCAATCATATTTGCCCAACACCTAGTTTTAATAATTATTAACACTTTGTCATGTTTACTCCATTTATTTTTATCTATGCAGAAATATTTTAAAACAAACCCTAGACATAATGGAATTACACCTCTAAATATTCCAGCATGCATTATAAAATAGGAACATATTTCTTATATAGCAAAAATAACATTATCACACTTTACCAAATTAAAATAATTCCTTAATTATTAATTTATTCCATATTCACATTTTCCCAATTCCAGTGAATTCTTAATTTTAACAAGTACATTTTGGTTTTTGAATGGTCTGGTTCGTTTGGTTATCTCCTTGTTTTCCTTTCATAATTTGTTCTTTTGTTTTCTATTGTTCCTTATGTGTCTCAAATAATTTTAAATTTTTTCAACATTCATTTATTATTCTATTTTTCTATTATCTCAAACTCTTGAGAGGTAGTTCTGCTGTCTGATGACACTCCCTCATGGTGGATTGTTTCCTCGTGTGTTTGATAATTGTTGAATCATGAGTTCATCTTTATTGGAGCTTTAGCTGTGGGAATTTTATTCAGCCTGGTTAAGGGCAGGTCCCTCCAGGATCCAGAGACTTTGTAATTCCTTCCCCTGGGTGTTTGCCAAGGCATCATTACCCCGACACGAATGTTTTCATTAAGTTGTTGGCTCCAAGATTCTAGAACCACAGGGGTAGTGTAAATTATAACCTCTAACAGAAACAAGGGGGTAAACCTCAGATCATAAATTCTCAAAGGAGTCCACCTGGGGCCTAGCCAAGACAGAGAAGCTTTTGTTTTATCTCCCTGATAGATAGGTGGATATTTTCCAAGTCCCCCTTTCCACTGAGGGTATATCTTTTTTAAAATCCAAGCTTTATGCTAGGGTGTCAATTCCAACTAAGGAAGGTATCGGGCATTCTTTCCTGTTCTTCTAAACTGTTAAAACCCAGGCCCTTGGTTACTAGACCAGCAAACACCCCCATTTATGCTGCCACCCTAATAGGAAAACACCAGCATCAGCTGACACTCATTCTGCTGGTTTTCAGTTTTCTTTTCATTTTTTTTTTTTATTGGCAATGCATTTAATTCGTACATCAATTTGTGGAAAATGAACATCTTTAAATATTGAGTCTTCTAATCAATATATCTTCCATTTATTTTTGTCTTAATTTCCCCCCAAAATATTGTACATTTTCATAGGTAAAGGTCTTATATCTTTTTTCATTAAATGCATTCCTAGATATTTGTAGTGTTTAATGTCATCATAAATGAATTTTTTTTTATTTTCTTCCCCATCACCATTTATCCCCACTATATCCTCTTGCACCTCCACTCATCGTGCCCCCCACAGTCACCACACAGTCACAACAGTCCATGTGAAATTGTTTTTCAAATTATTTATTGCTGGTATATGGTGATAGTAGTTGATTTTATGATCTGACCTTTAAAATCTACATATTAATTGTAATAGTTTATCTGTAGATTCTTTTGGATTTCCTATCATCTATGAATAATAACAGTTTTATCTGTTACTTTGTTAATGTTATGGTCTTTATTTCTTTTACTCGCCTTATTGCACTGGCCCGACCTCCAGTGCAAATTTGATAGAAGTGGTACAGACCATCCTTATCTCCTTTGCAGCTCACCCTCTTCATTTCCTGTGAGCTCATCTGTGCATCTCAAAGGGGTCTGTCTGGAGCTAGTTTTTAGGCTGCCTGCTCTGTGGCAATGCCAGAGCCCTGCCTCCCTGCAGCAGCCCCTTGCTTACGCACCGTGCACGTTCTTCTGAACTCTCCTTTATGTCCTGATAGGAGTGGGGAAGGGGACTCACATGCTATGTACCAGCCACACCCTGTGCACACCACCCACACCATCTTCTCCTTCACTTCTCACAATGACCCTTGACAGAGGAGGAAAATGAGGCTCAGAGCAACAAAGCCTTTGGCCGAGGCAGCCTCTGCAAAGCCTCTGCCAGGGCCAGACCCAGGCCCCCTTGCCCACCCCAGCCCATGCTCCAGGCTTCCTTGGCCAGCTTATTTTTTCATATTCCTTTCTCAGCATTGGATTGAGATGGGCAAGGACAACTGACAAACCGTCCAGCTGGGGGGCCTTCGTGCTGCCTCAGCGGCCACCCCTCCCAGGCAGGATACACACCATGGGCTTCAGCTGCCTCAGGCCTCCCCTGAGCCTGCGTGTGCCCCCAGCCCGCGTGCCCGCCCTTGAAGAATAACCCTCCTGCCACCTCCACCCCGGCAGCTGTAGCTTGACCGGTGTTAAGAGGGGCTCAAGGTTCAGCCTGGCCGAGTGCACATCCTGGCTCAGCCATTACTATCTGTGGGAAGATCACTCTCTCCTTCCCTTCCCCAGCCTCCTGGCCACAGGACTCATTTCCCCTCCTCACTTCTCAGAGGAGGCATGAAAAAGAAGGGCTGGAGAGGAATCAGCTCTGGCAAGGGGCAGAAGCCTTTCATTCCATCCCAGCCAGGTCCTTTCCTGAAGGAAAAGATCAGATGAGGATTCAGTCAGGAGTGGAGTCAGTCCGGGTAGAGGTCAGGACTCCGCCTGGGCCAGGGTTGGGGCCTCGTCAGC